ATGAAGGAAAAGAATATGCTGCCCAGAACGGAAGTATTTAGTGAGGCAGATTTTAGAATGAGGTTGGATATTTGGCTAACATGCATAGGGAAAGTTGTGAGGAGAAAACTAAGGGACTTTGGACAGGCTTCTAGGACTGGGTATCTAGGCTGGTGCAGGGAAGACAGGACATGGTGGGAATAGTGTGCTCTGCTGCAGAAGGCCAGGAGCCGCCTGCTCGTGAAGCCCATGGTAAGGAGTTTGTATTCCCTCCTAAATACAGTAAAAAAGCAATGGTGTTTATTAAGCTCGGAAGTGCCTGGATAATGTTCTTAGAGGATGATGGCTCTGGACTCTATAGGGTCGACCTAGGGAAGCAGAAAATCTAACAGGGGCCAAAGAACATCAGTAACATGCCAGTTTTCTATAAATGTCCCATTGAACTTTGCTCCTAAGGTAGCTTACTTTTCCAGTTTTTAACTTCAAGACTAGAAAACAGAAGAGCTTCAGTAGTGAACTGATTAGACATTCAGTGTGGAAGCAAATTTATCTTGAAACTACTTTAAAAGGATATATATATATCACATAGAAGAGAAAGAAAGTCACACGCAGGCACAAATAGTACACTGGTCATAGGGGGAAAGAACTTGTTATGGCATTTCCCCAGTGATAAGTTTCAGCCAGAAAAATTAGTGAATTGCCATCTTTTGAATGATGTAAATCAGGGGAAAAAATCATGGTGCCATTTGCAGAGTTCTAGGAAATAATGATTGAGCCACAGAAACAACTTTGACAGTAGAAAACAATTTTTATAATTTCTTGAAAACAAACCAACTCTTTTCTAGTGTCCACTCTTCATCTTGTGCTACTGCTTATTCACTTAGGAAATATAGATACATAATATATAGATACATAATTTTTGTTTGTTCGTTTTTTGTTTTGTTTTGTTTTGAGGCAGGGTCTCACTGTGTAGCTCCCACTGGTCTGGCCTAAGACTAGCTAATGAAGACCAGTCAGGCATGGAACTCACAGAGATCCCTCTGCCTCTGCCTCTCTCTGTGCTGGAATTAAAGTGTGCACCACTATGCTCAGAAGAAATGGTTTTGATGTCGCTGGTTATCATGACTTATCCCTATGATGCCAGCATTCTGTGGACAGGAGGTTTGCCATGAGTTTGAAGATCCACTCAATTGTGAGTTCCAGGCCAACCTAGACCACAGAGTAAGATCCTATCTCAAAAAATTAAAGACTGGGACTGGAGAGATGGATCAGCACTTAAGAGTACTCAGGTTTGATTCCCAGCACCCACGTGGTGTCTCACAACTGTAACTCCACTTCCAAGTGATCCAACACCCTCTGCTGGCCTCAGTCAACAGGCTTGTGACATATATGTAAGCAAAACATCCATACACATAGAATACATTTTTGAGGTTTTGGGGTTTTTTTTTATGAAAAAGTGCTGGCAAAATGCTCATTCAGCAGGCAAAGGCACTTGCCACTAAGCCTAATGGCCCGAGTTTGATCCCTGATACCCATATTATAGAAAGAGAGAACCAACTCCTGCAAGTTGTCCTGGCCTCATGCACTGCACTGCCATGTGCATGCATATATATGCAAATAAAATGTCATTTTTTTAATTAAAGGAGAAAGGGGATTTTTTTTGGAGGGGGGGAACTGGATTTTGTTTCTTTTAGACAAAGTCTCACTATGTAACCCTGACAGGTGTTGAACTCACAGAGATCCTCCTGCCTCTGCTTCCTTGGTGCTGAAATTAAAGACATGTGCCACCTTACCCAGCTTTTTCTTTTTTAAAGAAGAGGATGTAGAATCCTAGAGCTAGAGTTAAAGGCAGTTAACAGAACTGCCTAATATGGAGGGGTATCAAGTATTCAACCCGTGAGCTCTCTTTCCAGCCTGGAAGGCTGGTTTGCTTGTTTTTTATGCCAGGAGGTAGTGATGCACTCCTTTAATCCCAGCACTTGGAGCCAGAGGCAGTGGGATCTCTGAATTCAAGAAACCACAGAATATTTTGCCCTTCTACTTGGTGTCTTGGAATATTGGGGGGGGTTGTGTTTTGTTGTGTTATAGTCCTTTCTGACTGGTCTAGAACTTTCTGTATAGACCAGACTGGCCTCAAACAGAGATCTGGCTGCCTCTGCCTCCCAAGTGCTAGGATTAATGGTGTGCTTCACTATACCCAGCAGAAATACTTGCTCTTGAGCCCAAATGTTGTATGAGAAAACCCAAACATCTCCAGAAAGCATGTGTGGAAAGGAACCTCAGCAACCTCACCCCCAACCCCAAGTCCACACCAACTCCTAGCCACGAGCCACAAGGTTGCCTCCCATCCGAGCTCTGAAAGGCTTCCAGACTCCACTGCAACCCTATCAGATGACACCAAAGGATCAAAGGCTAGTTGTCCTTGCCAAACCCTTCCCAAAACACAGATTACTGTTTGTAAAATGTTTTAGTCCACTCGGTTTCTCTTGGGAGGAGAGATTGTAAATAGCAATAGCTAACTAATAGAGACAAATTTCATTCCTTTCCTGCTTGAGTCCATGAAACAGCAGGCAAGTTCATGTAACACAGAGGAAGTGGGATTGGAGAAAGTGTGCAATGGGATTTTAGCAGCATTTGCTCTGAGCTATTTGACCAGTGCTTGATTGTAAGGAGTCGTTCTCTGTCCCGCCAGCCATCTCCCAAATAAGAACACAGACATTATTATGAAAGCTCAGCCTTGCCGGGCAGTGGTGGCGCATACCTTTAATCCCAGCACTCAGGAGGCAGAGGCAGGTGGATCTCTGTGAGTTAGAGACCAGCCTGGTCTACAGAGGGAGTTCCAGGACAGCCTCCAAAGCCAAAGAGAAACCCTGCCTCAAAAAACCAAAAAAAAAAAAAAAGCTCAGCCTTAGCTTAGGCTTGTCCCACTGTCTTTTAGAATTTAAACTAATCCATTTACGTTAATCTACATTTTGTCTCATGGCTTTTTACCTTATTTCTGTACTGCCCATCCTGCTTCCTCCATGTGTCTCACCTCCAGAGCACCTAGATTCCTCCTCCTCTGCAAATCCCACCTATATCTCCTGCCTAGCTAGTGGTCATTCAGCTCTTTATTAAACCAATCATAACAATATATCTTCACACAGTGTATAAATATCCCACAACAGCTTGATGGAACAATTTTTAGATACTTGTCATTCTAGTTTGCTTATCAGAGCTGTGACAAAATATCGACCAAAACCAATTTGGGGGGAAGAGGGTTTGCTTTGCTTCCGTATCCATGTCATAGTTCATCATTGATGGAAGTTGGAACAGGAACGCAATGCAGGAACCTGGAGAAGGGAATTGAGGTAGATAGAGACAAAGAAATGCTGCCTACAGGCTTGCTCTCCATAGCTTGCTCAGCTTTCCTTATACAGCCCACACCTGCCCAAAGGAGGCACCACCCACAGGGGACTGGGCTCTCCCACATCAATCATTAGAAAATAATCTAACAATCTACACTCAGAGTCAGGCAGTGATGGCACACACCCTTAACCCCAACAGTTAGAAGGGAGAAGCAGGTGGGTCTCTTGAGTTCAAGGCCAGCTTGGTCTACAGAGTGAGTTCCAGGACAACCAGGGATACACAGAAAAGCCCTGTCTCCAAAAAAAGAAAGAAAAAATGCTCAACTGTAGTTCCTTTCTTCCCAGGTGACTCAGGTCAAGTTGACAGAAACCAACAAGCACACCTGTCTTCACCAGACTGATCTCCCAGTGTCTTTGAAATCATCTTGGTTCCAAATGCTGAATGCTGTAAAAATCACAGACACCCATTTTATGTCCATTTGAAAATGTCTACTGATTCATATTAGCCATGTGACCCTCAATTCATACCTTAATTAGTTATATACTACACATTTGGCTGAAAGGTATCAGACCACCAAAGAAATAGTGAGCCATCGAGATAAATCCATTCCAAGCAGGGTGTGGTAATGCAGGAGGTTCTCTATGAGTTTGAGGCCATCCTGGTCTACATAGTCAGTTCCTGGCCAACCAAGGCTACATACTTAGATCCTGTCTCCAAAAAAAAAAAAAAAGGTAATATGAAAAAAAGTCCCAGGAAATCCATTTTCACCATGTGACAGTTTTTGAGGGGACTTTACCCAGAGCAAAGTTATTTAATTTCTGATTACTTGGCTTCAAGTGGTTGTCAACATTTTTTGTACTGCATAACTGTCCAAGAAACGACTTGTTTGTTTTTCTTGTGTTTACTGAGATGAGCGTTTTACCTAACCTAAGCTGACAGCAAACTGTATAGCTGAAGCAGATCTTAAAGGCCTAGAATCTCTTGCCTCCACCTTCCAAATGCTCAGACTACATACTCATGCCACCACGTCCTGCTCTTGCTTTTGATTTGAAGATTACAAGTTAAACTACAAGACGTCCACTTAATGCAGTGGAATCTTCCATGTTTCCAAGAAATAACTTTCTGTAAATCAGACATCTGCATTACCTGGGACAAATTATGAGACTGGCTTCCGAGCAATTTGGCCATCTCCGGCGCTTTTTTTTTTTCCAGATTTTTTAAAATTTATTTTTTACATTCCAATCCCAGTTCCCCGTCCCTCCTCTCCTCCCGCTCCCTCCACTTGCCCCCACTCCACCTCCCATCAGCTCCTCGGAGAGGGTAGGACCTCCCCTAGGAAGTTTGTCCCTTCATCTCGTCGAGGCAGGACCAACCCCCACCCCCGCCATGCGTTGGCCGACTCCGGCGCTCTTAAAGCGCGCTTTCAGCTACATAATCTTTACTACCCCTGAATTACAAATGAAGAAACCGGAGCTCTGGCTCCCACAGCTTCATCTGCAAACCAGGAACAGCAAGCGTTGACACGCATTCTGCCACCATTTTGCAGCCCTCTGCGTGAGCCCCGAGAACCTGAGACTGTGATTGGCTGCTGGAGCCGCGGGGGTAACCATGGTGACGGGAGGCGGGACTGCGGCCAACCGCGAGCCCCAACAGTCGGTGGCGGGTGTGTCCCCGCGAGAGGCTGGCGGGCGCAGGGCCCAGCCGGGAGCCTCTGCTCCGGCCTCGCGCGATCGCGGGGCGGGGCGCGGGCGCGGCCTCCTGCGAGCCCTTGATGCGGTTGAGGCAGCGCGGGCCAGAGCGGAGCCCGGCCGGGCGGCGGGCGCGGTAGGAGGCGGCAGGGCCGCGGGCCCGGGCCGGTGACTGCGGCGTCCCCACGATGGACGCCCTAGAAGAAGAGAGCTTCGCGCTGTCCTTGTGAGTGTCGCCCGCGGGGTCGGGCGCGGGCAGGCGGGCGTTTCCAACCCGCCGCCTCTGCGGGGCTGTGTCACCGATTACCAGCGCTTCCATCACAATCCTCTCTAGCCTGAATCTTAGCGGTCAGCAAAGCCTCGAGGCCTTGAGCTGCCCAGGGCAGGCGGCGGCCTCACCGCCCGTCTCAGGCCACTCCTGATCCAGTTACCCTCTAGGCCGGTGCTCCTCCGGCGGTCACACTCCCGCAGAAACACCTCTCTGGCCTAAGAGCCAGGATGCGGTGAGTAGATCCCGCGGGCAGTAAATGCGGAAGTCTGAAGATGTGCCAGCCTCACCGCCCCATATTGTTTGCTTCTTTTGTGACTGCCACACCTAGGCTTTGATCACGGTTGTTTTCCAGTATTTGGAATTTCTAGGTCAGAAAGAAATCCTTGACTGCTGAAACCGAGTGATGGGAGGTTCAGCTTGCGATTCTTTTTATGCACGTTGGAAAATTTGCATTTAAAAATGTTGCGGGTGTTGTTGTGATTACCTTGTAAGCACAAGGTCTTGGGTTCAATCCCCATCCCCACAGAAAACACGAATTCAACTTCTAAAATAACTATTTGGGCCAGCACCTAATCCTGATGTATTTTTCAGCTCCTCCGCCTCTGATGCAGAATTTGATGCTGTAGTTGGATGTTTAGAGGACATTATTATGGGTAAGTTTCTACACCACTAAGTGACCCTTCTAGTTCCTTAGGTAAGTCCTTTAATACTTATGTAGATAGACATAAAGCAATTTTTATAAAAAACAAATTTTTAAAATGTATTCACTTTTGTGTGTGATTGGGGGCAGGGGGCTTTCCTAGACCACTATGTACAAGTGGAGGTCAGGGACAACACTGTGGAGTTGATTCTCTCCATGCAGCTTTATGTGGGTTCTGAGTGTTGAACTCAGGTCACCAGGCTTTGTATAACAGTGCCTTTAGCCACCCAACCACATCAACAGCCCAAACCTTTACTTATAAGAGCATGCGAAGAAATAAATTTGAGGAGTTAAAGTTTTAAAACACAAAACATCATGGTACACCAAAAATTTAACACAACACAACACAATATAATATAATAATAAGCAAGCCATACCAAGATCTGTTGTCTGAGAAACAAGTAGGATCGGCAAGATGTTTCAGTGGGTAGAGGCACTCACCAGCAAGCTTGGCAACCTTAGTTTAATCCTCCGTATCCACAGGGTAGAATTGGCTTCTAAAAGTTGTCTTCAGATAGGGATACACAGACCGTAGCAGGCATGTGCCCATGCACAAACAAAATAAATAAAAATATAATTAAAAAAGAAAGAACCTGAAAACCTATTATGTGGCACACCTCTGTTATCTCAACACAGGCAGGCCACAGACAAGAAGCTGGGGAGTTCAATCCTGGCTCTGCTCTATAAGATCCAGTGCTTTGTAAATAATGGCCATTGGTTCAAGGTTTCAGAGGAGACAAATTCAGAAAACCAGTCACCTGGTGGGTAGGACAGAGCTCTTGGCAAGGCTTCAGGTAATATTGACCAACTTTATTAAACATATACAGTAAGAGCAATTTTGAATCATTTTCATGCAGAACAGAAAATAAATCATAACCCTATGCAACACTTGTCCATGTAAAAACAAAGTCTCCTTGAATCTCTTCATTTTCCTTTTTGTTGCTGTTGTTTAGTTTCTGTAGTTGTTTTGAGGCAGTGTTTCTCTGTGTAGCCCTAGCTGTTCTGAAACTCACTCGTAGACTAGGCTAGCCTCCAATTCAGAGATCCATCTGTCTGGGATTAAAGGTATGAGCCACTGTGCGTAACTCGGATCTGTTTTCTTGATTGGTGTTGTGCTCAGAGTTTTGTTTCTCGGGTCTCACGTGCAGGCCAGCCTGGATCTTACCACCCATCTTCTTACCTCTGCTTCCCTAGCTCATTGCAGGCATGGGCCACTCACACTCCTTATTCCCTTGCATTCTTAGTTCCTATTTCTCATCCCTCTGAGCATCTGTCTGTCCTAGTAAGTGACCAGAAGGCAGTAATAAATTCAAAGCTGAAGACAGATAGGTAGGAGGGGAAAACTAAATTGAACAAAATTTTGACAGCTAACTAATTTTTCCAGTAATTAGGAAAAGACCATGCTGTCTGATTTTTGGGTGTGTGGCTTTACCCATGTTAGTCTGAAAAACCACCGACAACACTTTTTGAACCTTTACACCCTGTTAGGATCCAAGCCTTACCTCAAGTGTCTCTCCAGAAGCTCTGACCTGAGGAGTTTTTACTTGTTTTGCCCACCATGGGTATCCTGCCTATTATGGAGAAATGAGCTCTTCCTGTCTGGGTCTCTTTCAAAGGTTTCCCTGTTAGTTGTAGAAATGTTATTCGGTTCCATTGTCAGAATTCCCTACTCCCTGACCTCGAGTGTTTGTTGTGAATCTCTACCTGAACTCCCCTCTGAATTCCACTTAGCAAGCCCCTTGTGACAGACAGAGTGTTGAGGAGATTGGGGTCTACAGAACACACAAAATATATGACTGAGGTAGGGTTTGAACCCAAGCAGTGGCCTTTTGCAGGCCCCACCCTGTAGCCCACTATGTGGTTTTCACTGTTGCTGCTAAAATGATAATAAAATAGGAGAAGGATGAGGGGGACAGCAAGATGGCTTTCAAGCCTAACAGTCTAAGTTCAGTCTGTGAGACCCAGGTGGTAGGAGGAAAATCAACACCCAGCCTCTAGATGAGTACTGTTAGCACATGCCATCAATTCCAGTATTCAGGAGGCAGAGGCAAGAGGATCTTTGTGAGTTCCAGGCCAGTCAGGGCTACACAGTGAGACCCTGTCTCAAAATAAATGTGTAGCCAGAAAAAGAGAAAAAAGGAGCACCAAAGAGATAGTTCAGTGGGTAAAATACTTAGTGCCAAGCCTGACAACCTGAGTTCAATTCCCAAGACTCGTGTATGGGCCGTAGAAGAAAAGAACCTTCTATAGGTTTTCCTCTGACTTCCGCCCTTATACCATGTCAAGCATGTGCATGTATGTACATAAATATAAATAAATAAATCATTTAATAATAAAAAACATTAACTAGGAGGGACAGGACTTCTTGCCATTGAAGTCTCCCAGTTAGAGAGCTGACCTTTTGTATACACAATAAATTTGTGTGAAAGAGAGGTACCAGGTACTTCTTGGTGAACAATTAATGTGAGGGGGTTCACAAGTTATCCTGTTTGGATATACTGTGGCATATACCTGGGTTTTTTGTTTTTGGTTTCTCCAGACAGGGTTTGTGTAGCCCTGGTTACCCTGGAACTCGCTCTGTAGACCAGGCTAGCCTAACACTCAGAGATCTGCCTGCTTCTGCCACCCAAGTGCTGGGATTAAAGGCATGTGCCCCCATTATCTGGTGTGGTATATACCTGTGACTCCAGCACTCAGAGTCAGGAGAATGGCTACAAGTTCAAGATCAGCCTGGTCTACGTAGTGAATTCCAGGCCACTCAAGAATATAGATCTATGGAGACCTTATCTTAAAAAGCTAAAAAAAAATCAAATATTGCAAAGCAATGTGAACACACTTATAAGCCAGCAAACTGAATATTTTAAAAGGTTGAAGTTTTAAATTTTAGGTATATCTTACTAAAATTTTTTTATTGGTTTTGTGTTGAAGTTTTAAATTTTAGGTATATCTTACTAAAATTTTTTTATTGGTTTTGTGTTTATTATTTTATATTTATGAGTGTTTTGCCTGAATGTATGTATGTCGACCGTGTGTGTGCCTGATGTCTGTGGAGGGCAGACAAAGGCCTCAGATGTCTTAGGACCTGAGTTACAGAGAGTTGTGAGCTGCCGTGTGGCTGCTGGGAAAGCAGCGCTGTACCACTGCACCTCATTGCAGAGATGAACTTCCCTTGTTTCAGATGACGAGTTCCAGTTACTGCAGAGGAACTTCATGGACAAGTACTACCAGGAGTTTGAAGACACAGAAGAGAATAAACTCACCTATACCCCCATTTTTAATGAATATGTAAGTAGATCTGTGTCTCCTACCAGAAGATTGGGGTTTCTTTAACATTTGAACTTAGATCCGTTAAGTATAATTTATATAGACTATATTAGCATACACTAGTTTAAGAAGTTTGAGTTAGAATCAGAAGGTGTTACAAAGCTTGGTGGCACATGTAAACCAGCACTAAGGAGGCTGAGGCAAGAGGATGTCTGCAAGTTATAAGCCTCCCTAAGCTACTTAGTGAATTTCGAGGCAGCTTAGGTTGTTTAGCAAGGTTAGTTGGAATTAGTTTACTTTTTATATACGCCAGCACTGCCGAGAGGAATTTGGCTTAGATCATTTTCTCTTGCCAGATCTTAGAGCTATTTTCAAAAGGGCCTTCATGAAGTATTTGATGAGCTGGCAGCTTCTTGTTTGAAACAAATCTGCCTTTACCGTCATCTTGTCTTCAGCTGTGATGTTTTGCATTTGTGTGCTGTGAAAAGTAAACAACAGTGCCAGCAAGAAGTGGGGGGAGAGAACTGATTCCATACAGGCTGTGCTCTGATGCCCACATGCACATTGCAGTACATGCGTGCCCGCTCACACATACGTCATATAATAGTAACACGGGGGACTGGACAGATGGCTTTCACAGGACTGCAGATGCCCACATGCACACTGCAGTACATGCGTGCCCGCTCACACATACGTCATATAATAGTAAAATAAAAACACGGGGGGCTGGATAGATGGCTTCCAGAGGACTGCAGATTGATTCCAACACCTACATCCAGTGGTTAACAACTATCTATAACTCCAGTTCTAGAAAATGCAGCACCCTCTTCCGGCTTCTGCGGGCATTTGCACTCACATCATATATTCAGGCAGACACGCATGCGTGCGCGTGCACACACACACACACACACACACAATCTCAGGTGATGACTGCCAAAGATAGATCTAAACTTTGCAAAGAAGTCTTACTTCTTCCCAGAGGCCCACACATTCCTGTCTCCACGGTTGCAGATTTCCCTGGTAGAGAAGTACATTGAAGAGCAGCTGCTGGAGCGTATCCCAGGCTTCAACATGGCGGCTTTCACAACAACACTGCAGTGAGTTGCGTTTGACCCTGCTTCTGTGCTTCCCATCTTCCTCCCTAAACTGAAGAAATGCCACTCTTTTTCCTCACTTAGAACTCTGGGTGGCTGGGTCCTGAGTGGGAGACCCTCTATATCTTCACAAGGCATTTATTTTTATTTTTTTTAATGCCAGTATTTTATTCATTTATTTATTTAATTATTTATGTGTTGGAACTGGAATTATAGAGAGTTGTGAACCGCCATGTGGTGCTGGGAATTGAACTCAGGACCTATTGGAAGAGCAGTCAGTGCTCTTAGCCACTGAGCCATCTCTCCAGCCCTTTATTTTTATTTTTGAATAGTTATTTATTCATTTTTAAATGTATGTGTATGTATGTATGTAGTACGTGAGTCTGTATAAGTTTGTGTGCCCCATGTGTGTGCAGGAGCATACAGAGGCCAGAAGAGGGTTTTAGATCCTCTAGAACTGGAGTTATAGGCAGCTGTGATTGGCCACATGCATGCTGGGAACAACTCCAGGTCCTCTGTAAGAGCAGCAAGTACTCTTAACCACTGAGCCACCTCTCCAGCCCCTATTCTTATTTATTTTAAGGTGTTTGTTTTAAGACAGGGTCTCATAGCCAAGGCTGGCTACAAGCCTGATCCTTTGGCCTCCACCCAGGTGCTGATGACAGGCATGCCGCACCATGCCTGGCTTGTGCACCTCGAAGGGAGTCCGTCTCCCTGCTGACTCACAAAGCCAACACTCTGTTTTGCAGGCACCATAAGGATGAAGTGGCTGGTGACATCTTTGATATGCTGCTCACATTCACGGATTTTCTGGCTTTCAAGGAGATGTTCCTGTACTACAGAGCAGTAAGTTATGAGCGCTCGCCTGTTTAGCGTCAGTGAGCCTCACGGAAAGCAAGCGGTGTAACTGCAGAGACAGCCATCTGCCCTGTGCCCGCTGTCTTTTGTCCCCCTGAAAGTGCCTAGTATGGGTTTGTTAGCTTTTGAGGGATGAGCCAGGACGAGCTCAGTGTTTCCAACAAAGAGCAGGTCTCATTCTGTCACTTTACTATGCAGGCTCATTTAAATTTAAAAACAAAGTTTCAAGCAACGAGCAGTTGCCTCACTTATTTATGTATGTATTCATTGAGACAGTCTTGCTGAGTAGCCTGGAATTTGCTATGTTGGCCAAACTGGCCTCAAACTCAGAGATCCTCCTGCCTCAGCCTCCTGAGTGTTAGCACTAAAAGGCATGGCACTATGACCAGCTCCAGTCTTTATTTTTTGAAATGGGGCTTTCTCTGTATAGTCCTGGCTGACCTGGAACCTGCTCTGTAGACCAGGCTGACCTGGAACACAGAGATCCACCTGCCTCTGACTCCCAAGTGCTGGAATTAATGGCGTGCACTACCACTGCCTGGCTAGTCATGCTTTTAAAACTTACTGTTATTTTTTTATGTGTTTGCCTGCATTTGTGTCTGAGCACTACATGCATGCCTGGTGCCCATGGGCTGGAGTTATACACAGTTATGTACTAGGATAGTGGGAATCACACACAGGTCCTCTGGAATAGCAGCCAGTGCTTTTTAACCACAGAGCCGTCTCTCCAGCCCCCAAGAAAGTCTTTATCCCCACCCCCATCCCCCAGGTGAGTCTAACACCATAGTTGAGAAAAATTGGCAATACCCTGCTGCCTTGTCCTTCCCTGTGTGCTCCTTGGGAGCTAACATGCCTACCTGCTGTCCCCACCATTCTCCAACCCTGGTGCCTCCTGAGTTAGGAAAACACTTTCCATTCCTGGCATCTTGAAGTTGTCTGCTTCCTCCCGTAGGAAAAGGAAGGCCGAGGACTGGACTTGAGTAGCGGCTTGGTCGTGACTTCTCTGTGCAAGTCATCCTCTACACCAGCTTCCCAGAATAACCTGCGGCACTAGGTCCCACCTTCAGACGTGGGTGTGATCACTGTGAGGTCACCAGCCCAGCCGGCTCAGAGAAACATGGGCTAATGATACAGATGCGTCTTGTCAAGTATTGATGAGTCCTGAAAACATGACTGACCCTCCTGGCCCTTGTCCAGAAACACCTTGTAGTGGGTCACCTTCGTGTCCATCCCTCCTGTCCCAATGCAGGCACCTCTCAGGTGCTTCTGAGTAACTCCTGGAGCAGGCCCATGTTGGCCACCTCCCCTGGGGGCCTTCCCAGCAGTGTGGTAGTATAGTGTGTCAGTATGGACAGCACACCACCATGAGCCCGTTATCTGGCAGGCTTTACATGAATTCTTGTACACCCACAACTGTTTTTACACGGGTCAGCTTCAGTCCCCAGCCTCAAAGGGGTTTTGTTTGGGAGTGTTTATCTAGGGAAGTTACTGGGTCCTGATTTCTGAATCTCCTGGGAAAGATGTCCTCTACCCACAAGTGCAAAGGAACTCCCGATCTTACATTAGCCATCCTTTCAACAGCAAGATCTGCTGTTCTTGCTGTAGTCCCACTGTCCCTCTAAGTCTCTAAGCATTGGTTTCAAGAAACCTATTTTTATAGATGAAAACTCAGGCTAACCTAGTGAGTATGATCTTGGAACTCCCATGATCAACCACTTAAAAGATCAAAGTATTATATGCCGTGTGCTCTTTAGTTGTGAGTGCTGCGAGTGCAAATCTGCTTTCCAGTTTAGTGGCCCTCTTCTTGGGTACCAGTGCAAACAGACTGCAGGCCAGAAACAGGCTGCAGCTGTCTGTCCCACAGCATGCTAAGTGTGTTTGTGCATGCCTGTCTGCAGTCCATTGTGTAGGCCAGTGAGCTGGGTTTTCTGCTGGAGTGCAGGGACTCTGCAGTGTGTTCCTGTGAGTCTCTCCTGCCAAGTTGATGCTTCCCTGATCCAGCTCAGCCTGGGGGGAGGGGCAGTACAGGTTTCTTTTTTTTTGTTATCTGTCATCTTTGGTGGACTGTCACCAACCAGAAAGTATGTGTGTCACATCTCTAGGAAGAAGAAAACAGTTCAGTTCATAATGTATACTTTTGACTTTAACTTTTATAGTAAAACTAAGAATCCACACCAACTTTCCATGTGACTATTCTGACTTTACAGAATGTAAGCTAAGAGCTGTTTTTCTGTAGCAACGTGTCACTTTGTGCTTTTGTAAAATGAGTAAAATTTGAGATGTTTGGCAAGAGTTTTACATGCACTGTCCATGTCAATGTAACTATTGTCATCCGGTTATTGTTGCTTTGGTCTTTTGAGATCAAAGGCCCCCGTGGGGTCAGCTCTGTAAAAGTCACCTCTCCCTTCCTGCTCCTTTTGTGAGCAGGCATGCGCACTGCAGGCTGCATGCTGAAAGCTTGCTGTTGGCCAGTCTGCCTGGTTGAAAAAGACAACTGGACAAACGCAGACACAATAAGAAGGAGCTGGAGAGCCGCTTCAGTGGTTAAGAGCACTTGCTGTTCTTGCAGAAGACTTGGTTCATTCCCAGCACCCTCATGGCAGCTCACACTACCTCAAGCTTCGGGGCATCCAATGCCACCTTTGGCCTCCTCAGGTACCCATATGGTGCACATACATAAATATAGGTAAACACTCATACATGAAACAAAAATAATAAATCTAGAGGCCTGGGTAATCTATGGGGCCTTGGGTAGTATTTATCCCTGGCATACAAATGGACTTTGGCTGCCCATCCCACAATGAGGGGATGCTCTCTCAGCCTGGACTCTTGGGGGAAGGCCTAGGCTCTGCCCTGGATGAAATAACAGACTCTGGAGATCCTCCATGGAGGGCCTCACCCTCCCTGGGGATCGGAGTGGGGATTGGGGGAGCTAGGGGAGGGAGAGGGAGCTGGGATTGACGTGTGAAACAAGCTTGTTTCTAATTTAAATTTAAAAAAAAAGAAGGGAAAAGAATGAATGAATGAAAAGACCCAGAAAGCAGGAAAACTTGCTGGTTTTGTCTTGGTCCACAAACTTGGGCAGATGCTAGAGGCCAGGGCAAGGAAGCTGACAATCTGGCCCATTCTAGCGTGTCACTGGGAGGCTACCTTCTCCTTCCTCATCCATAGGAAAGCAGTGCCTACCTGAGCAGCAGAACCTAGAATGTTCCTCTAAATAGATTGTACTGCGCTATGAGGTACCCGATAGGACAGTGAGCTCTAAGCCTCAAAATGGGCAACTCCTCCTTAAACCCAAGCTTTCCTTAGGGCTTAATCTTGGAACAGGGCAATCTCATTGCTTAAGCCAGTGCTGGAGAGTGAAGTGGATACTGTTTGAGTATTTAGAGTAACAAAGACAAATTGGGAGCTAAGTATTAATTCTAATTACATCTTCATTGTTGCCATTTTTTTTCTTAAAGGACCAGAAAGTAAGATGTTAACAAACATCTAAGACCAGGAATGATAACACCTTTCCAAATAGACACCTCCATTTTTATTTAAATTGTAAAAAATAATTCCAAACAAAAGTCACCACCAACTCCATGACAACTCACGAGGCAAGGCCCTGCTTCCTTCTCCCACAAGTCTCTTGGTCTCAGCAGCAGCCTGGGGGAAGCACCCTGCACTAGCTTTCCCAAAGAGGGAGTTACACAAGAGGGACGACATGGCAAGGCTCGCCACCTTTGTAAACTGCTTGAAACCAACTGAAATAGTTCAGTCCAAAATCCCAACTCTTCCAATAAAAGTCTCTCTACAGGTGACACATTGGCTTGGGACAGGGGAGGGGGCTTGCTTAGCTTCTCTGTCGTTTGTTAGGTTTATACTGTGGCAGGAAGGAGGCTGAAGCTCTCTGTTAGTGCATTTAGTGCTGGTGAGGAGGGTGGCCCAACCTGGGATCCTGAAGTCCTTGGACAAGGCAGAGCCATGCGAGCCCATATCCCCGTCACCTTCCGCTGAATAAAGGGGGTGGGGAGGAGGTCCCCACTGCTGGTTCTAGGTAGCTCTTCTGTGCCGGCTTCAGGAATTCCTCAGGAGTGCTGGAGAGCTTGAGTCCATGAGATTGGGGGTGACCCTGTGCTCAGACCCAGCCGTAGCTTAGGCCACAACACGGCTGGCCTAAGAGTAGCCCCCAGCCATCTGACTGGTGGCTGCATTGCTGCCCACTCCTCGCCAGGCCTGGAAGCTGAAGAAGGCACTCACTCCGTAGGCAATCATCACCAGGCAAGCGAAAAACTGGCAGGGAAGAAGAGGCCATGGTGGTCAGTCAGAGAAAGCAAGGAACCAAACGGGACAGTGGCCGCAGACCTAGTGGGTCTCCTTAGACAGACGGGGGATAAAAGCCTGAGCAGCAGAGTTGTCAGAACCACACACACCACACAGCTGGCATGTTCTAACGGTCGGGGTTACAACCACACAGGCCAGACATGTCAGGTGGTACCAGGGGCAACCAAGAGTGTCCAACTGTTCACACACCTAGCAGGGACTTAATGTCCACAGGCAACACTCAGGGCTGGGGAGGTAGCTCAGAGGTAGCCTCACAAGGCCCTACCCTGGACATGACTGTAACCCATGGGCTCTGACTCTAGGGCAAAGTGTACAGGGCCTTGTGGATGGAGTGTGAATGGCCATTTGACACAGCCCAAGTTTGGGCTTCTTGTAAGAGAATGTAAGTCAAAAATGCAGGTAGAGGCCGGGCGGTGGTGGCGCACACCTTTAATCCCAGCACTTGGGAGGCAGAGGCAGGCGGATCTCTGTGAGTTCGAGAACAGGCTGGACCGACAGCCTCCAAAACAATACAGAGAAACCCTGTCTCGTAAAACCAAAAAAAAAAAAAAAAGAAAGAAAAAAGAAAAAAGAAAATGCAGGTAGAATGTCTGTAGAGATTAACAGTCACCCCAAGGTGACACAGGAAGCAAAGTGAGTATGGCTCAGCCGAGGTCTACAGTGACCTCAGGTGTCCAGGTCCCTCCGGCTCTGCTATTCACTAAGGAAGACTGAGCGAGGCTGAGCTGAGTGAGCGTCCAGGAAGTGACCACTCGGACAGACACCTGTGAGCACACAGAGGCCTGGGCTGGTGGATCCCTTGGAGAAGGCTGGAGCCCTAGGAACATACTTACAGAGGCAGCTGAGCGCTGGTTGTATGGCCGGGAGCCCTTCAGGGATGTCAGATCTACCGCCGCAGCGCAACTGATAAAGGCAGTGATATAGAGAACCGTGGCAGCGACAAAAAAGATCAGTAACTGTAGGGGGAAGGGAGAGACGTGAAACACCCACAGGGAACACCACCACCCCTGAAGCTCAGTCAGTCCTGGCAGGAAGGACTGAAGTGTTGGGGCAGGACAGTGCCAAGTTACCAGGCAACTCCTTTGCCATGGCAACAAGTCATCTCTAACCAAAGAAACGCAGGCCACTCCATGCATGGCACATGGCCATACCCACACCCTCCCTATGACCACATCAGCACTTGGCCTTGTGGCTGGCCCTAGGATGAGGCCTCACAGCCCTCTCCCCACCAGTGGGAGAAACCTATTACACCCTTTGGCAGTATCCTAAACTCGGGGACCGTGGGGCATCTGTATAGAACACCAAGAGGACTGGATGTGAACCCTCAGCTGGCAGCTGGGCCCATTCCATACGCCCAGTTCATTCATTGTGCTATACATTTTTTTCTTTAATTGCCAACATTTAAAAATTAGATTTCACAAAAGTCTGAAAATTTTCATATACATTTTTTCATATTAAAAATGTTCAAGACTTCTTGGCATGGTGGTACGCTCCTGTAAACCCAATCCTCAGGAGGCAAAGGCAGAGTCCACCCTGGTCTACAGAGCAAGTTCTAGGACAGCCAGGGCTACAGAGAAACCCTGTCTCTGAAAACCAAACCAAACCAAACAAAATACTCAAAGCTGGGCATAGTAGCTTAGGAATGCTATGTGTCCAGACACAGAGGCAGGAAGACCATGAATTGCAGGGTCAGCCCAGTGTGCACATCAAAACTGCTTCAAAAGAGAAATAACCAACCTCAGGGCAGGGCGTGTGTATCACTGGTAAAGCATTTGTCCGGCTGTTGTGAGGTCGTGAGGCCCAGAGTTTGACCCCCCAGCACCACCAAAATAATAAACAAAATACCTCAAGGCTTGGCGCCAATGCCACATCCCCTAGAGGTTGAAGCTGGACAGAGGCAGCTCCTCAGGGCCAGGCATGTAAGGTTTCTGGAACCTTCCTGGAGCCCAGTTCACTAATCCATCTTGCCTGGCCCTTTCAGTGTCTATCCCAGAGTTGAGGGATCATCACCCAGATCCTCTCCCAGCTCTGCCCTCCTGCCCTGCTGCTAAAAGTCCAGAAGAACAGAGACAGAACCCAATGGGCTCCTTCATGGAGCGCTGTGCCAGAGCCCCATCCTGGCCTCAGAGACAAGTCACCCGGCCTGCAGGATCCTTCTTTAGGGACCCAGGGGGGTTAGGCCCTCAGTCGGGAGTCCAGCTGCCACCACCTCAATCCCAAATCCTGTCCCCAAGTACAGTGACCACTGCACACCCTGCCTGGCTCTGGCCAGTGACACAAGATCTAACAAACCCATTCTGTGTCAGTATGACTCACGTTTCCTCTGATTAAACAGGCATTGAATTGTAAACAATCACCGCCTAGCCCCAGCCCCGCTTGTCTTACAATCATGTGCCTCTGTGCTCACTGAAAGGCTCAGACCCAGCTGCAAGAGTTTTCCGGGTTCCAGAAGAAAAAAAAAAGTCATTTTCTGTGTCTGGCCAGGGTGCTTCCTCTAGTCAGAGGAGGCTGGCCTGAGACAAACCTGAGGCACCCATCCTCTCCAGGGCTGCGGGGCCTCCCGGAGGCAGCTGGTATCCATGCTAGGCCCCAGCCAGCACTTGACAAACTCAGACCTCCTAGCTCAAATTCTGACCACCCTCAAGAAGGTCTACTATCTGCCATATCTGCAAGGGCATGGTGTGGGCCCACTCAACCGCCCCTGCGCCTCACAGTCACGGAAGCTCAAGGATCATTCACAGGCAAGAGGGCTCAGCCTGGAGCCGCACAGGACCCCTGCCCCAGACTCACCACCAACGGCCAGGGCACCATGTACAATTTCATGTGCAGCTGAAACAGGTAGATGATGAAGAAGACGATTGTCATCAGCCAGAGGAAGACAGCGACAAACATGACCCAGCCATAGGCAGGGTACAGGTGGTACGGAGTGTCGGCAATCAGGGCCCACACCAGCAGCCCCAGCACCTGAGGATGAAACCGGGAGTCTCTCAGCCCCGCAGCCCTGCTGCAGGCCCAGGCCTTGGCCTCCTCTCTTGCTAACTCAGCCAAACCTTGGGATAGCGAGGTGGCTCCGAGGGTGAAATGCTCGCCACAAACCTGGCTGCCCGAGTTTGACGCCTGGAACTCCAGGGTGTAAAGAGAACTGGCTGCCAGGAGTTGTCCAGTGGCCTCCACTCACGCATGGTAAAAAAGCTTTTTGAGAAGAAACCTTGGCCTGCCTCCTGCTGTGCACCTCTGCGCTGGGGATCTTGTCTGGTCCCTCTTCAGTCTCCGCTGTGCTGTGTGACAAAAGGCCCTTCCCCACGATCCCAGACACTGCCACCCAAGGCGGAAACAGCGATTCTCCTATAGAGCGTACGCTGCTTAGACCATTACTGCCCACAACAGTGCAGGACCTCTGCTTTCTTACTGGTGCTGCTGAAAAACAAAGGGGGAGGGCATGGAGGCTAATACCTGCAGTCCCAACAGTGGAGGAAAAAGCAGGAGACTTGGGAGTTCAAGGCCAATGTCCATCTACTGAGTTACAGGCCAGCCTGAGCTGTGTGAACCCATCTCAAAACAAAACCCCTGTCTAGGGGTTGGAGATACGGTTCAGCGGCTGCTCTTGCAGAGGACCACAGTTCAGTTCCCAGCACCCACATGGTGGCTCACAACCACCTGTAACTCCAGTCCCAGGGGATCCGATGCCCTCTTCTGACCTCCACAAGCACCAGGCACACAAGCGGCAAACAGATATACATGCAGACAAGACATTCACGCACATGTAAAAGTAAATAAGTAAAAATATTTAAAAAAAAAAAACCTGTCTAAGCTGGGCGTTGGTGGAGTACGCCTTTAATCCCAGCACTCAGGAGGCAGAGGCAGGCAAATCTTTGTGAGTTCGAGACCAGCCTGGTCTACAAAAGCTAGTTCCAGGACAGCCTCCAAAAAAAAAAAAACCCTGTCTAAAAAGTCGGGGATGAGGAGCTTCAAGATGGCTCGGCAGGTAACAGTGGTTATTGCCCAAGCTTGAAAACCTAGATGCCTGATAACTTGAGTTACCCCCCAGAACCCACAGTGCAAGGGGAGAGCTCACTTACTCCCAAAAGTTGTTCTCTGGGGGATGATGAAAGGGCTATTCAGCTACATCAGCTAAATTTGCCTGTTGCCAAGTTTGACAGCCTAAGGTAAACAAAACCCCCAGCTTACACAACACACTAATAATAATAACTAATTACAATTTAAGAACTTGGGGGTTGTTTTGTGGAGACAGGATTTCATTATGTAGCCCTCGCTAGCCTGGAACTCACAGATATCCTCCTGCCACTGCCTCCTGAATGCTGGGGCTACAGGCATGAGCTATCATGCCTGGCTTAAAAAAATGTTTATATGAGAAGAGCCTGAGAGATGGCCTCAGGGATAAAGGCAGTGGCAACCAAGTTTGATGAGCTATGTTTGAATCCCGGGACCCACATGCTAGAGAGAGCCAGCCTCCTGCAAGAGAGCCAGCCTCCTGCAAGAGAGCCAGCCTCCTGCAAGTTGTCATCTGATTCAAGCATGTGCACCTAACAGTGTTTATGTGTACATACAATAAATACATACTACTAAATAAGTGTAGTAAGAAAGATTAGAATCTCTTACAGGCCCTTTCCTCCCTCCCCCTCCCCTTGAACCATGGGACCTTTGGAGAAAGAAAAAAATCGTGTTCCCAGCACATCCTCCACACAAATGGGAACAGACTATGTGTCCTTATCTTGGCTCAGCAGAGACTGTGTCCAGGGCTGAGTCCTCCAGCCTGCTCCCTCCCCCCACTATCGCCCCTAACTCCCAGTTGTCTCTCCTACAGGTGTTGCTATCCTGTCTCACAGAGGAAGACCTCTTGGCTGGACATCCCCGACTGTGTATGCTGAAGCTAACAGCATGAACTTTGTTGAAAACCTGTGGCTTTGGAGAAAGCATCCTTTGCTAAGACACAGAAGGGTTGTTCCTCCTGTCTGCACACATGGAAGCCAGTGGCCCCAGCCCAAGTATCCTGTGGAGGCTGGTCTTTGGGAACAAGTGCCCTATGACAGGCCACTTCAAGTCCCTCTAAAAAGAGGTCCTCACTAGAGGGTTCATGACCCAAAGCTCGGGTCCTACTAGACACCTTCTCCTAAAACAGCGCACCAAAGACCTCAGAGAAGTTTCTTTGGTTTGGAATATGCACTTCCAGGGTAAGGACAGAGAACTTGTAGCTGGTAAGGCCAAAGCGGACTCTGTACCTGCTCTCCCCAGTGAGGGTGAGCCCCGGATAGCCCACGTCATGTAGCACCCTTCCATTTATTGTTGCCTCTGATCCTCACAAGCAGGTCCAGGTGAAGGCCCCTGTGCCCACTTTACAGCAAAGAAGATGGCACAGAGTATCAGGGCCTTCCTAGCCTGTGGTCACATGCCAAACTAGGATCGAAGCCCTCGTTTAATTACAGCTCAAGGGCCAGGGAGAGAGAGAGAGAGAGAGAGAGAGAGAGAGAGAGAGAGAGAGAGAGAGAGAGAGAGAGAGAGAGAGAGAGAGAGAGAGAGGAGAGCTTGCCACCAAGTCTGCTGACCTGAGTTAGATCTCCAGAACCAACATGGGAGGGGAGAGTTGACTCCTGAAAGCTGTCCTCTGCCCTCCATATATGTACTTTGGCACACCTATCCCCCCCCCACACACACGATCAGGACAACGTTATCTTGGAACAGGCTCCACACACACTTTCTTCCCTCCCTCCCTCCCTTCTCCTCCCTCCCTCCCTCCCTCCCTCCCTCCACCAGTTTCTCTCCCCACCCTGCTTCTGTCTTTCTTGGCAAGGTCTCATTAGTCCAGACAGACCTTGAACTCACACCTCTGTTTCTCATGTACTGATATTACGAGCATGTGGCACCACACCTGTGCCCCCCCAATATCACCGCACCTGAAACAGACACACTAGAAAGTCCACAAAGCCCCAGAGCTGGGTGGGGTCACTTCCGTCAGGACAATGAAGAGTCCTGGGAAAACCATCTCAGGTAGTTTCCCAGTGAGAAATGGGAAGGTGGACCTGCTGGCGGCTGCCAGTTCTTGTGTGAAGGAGATTTCGGGTCCCTCACCCGGACACTGGGCTGACTGGTTCCTACTATCTGAAAGGAAGTAGGAACAGGCCTCTAAATGACCACCCAGAAAAGGCCCAGGCATGTTTACACGAACACCCTCCCCTCTCCAGGCTACCTTGCTATGTTTCCACAAAAGCTCAGGAGCCAAACTGCACACTGCAGGTAAACAGTGGGGAGCCTGGGACCCAGCTCTGCCTTGCCAGAGCTGTGAGTAAGGGGTTTCTAGGCGATGGATAAAGCGAAATGCCCCTTCCAAGGACAAGGCTGTAGGAACCCAGGTGTCCCCACCCTGTCCCACTCCGCCCGTTTCCCAAATCAGCAAACACGGAATAGAGATAAAGCAGTAGATAGTAGGGGAATTTGTGTCCCTTTGGGCTGTCGTGCCTGGCCCCAAGCCCAGGCAGGAGACTTGGTTTCTGCCCTAGAACAAGGAAGGTCCATTCCTCTTTTAGAACCCAACAAACTGGTTTCTCTTGACCCTCAAGCCTTCAGTCTGGGTATTTCACTGACCCCTTGACTCAAGTGGGTGGTCCTGCCAGAGAGGTTCCAGAAGCTGCAGGACCCCTTGGGACTTACTGAAATGCCACCTGGTGCAGACCCCACTCTAGCTGAAGAGCCGGAAGCCTTGACTCAGCATGGCGGCACATTCTTCAGGGGTAGCAAAAGGCAGCAGGTCACCGAGAGCCGAGAATCAGGCCAGAGTCCCCAGTCCTACTCCCTGATCCTGTGACCTCTCCCAGAACTCTGGGTCCGGAACATGTCTCACGTAGCTCGTATGTCCCTCCAGCCCAGCCTGTCCCAGGGTGCCTCTCTTCACAACCCTTCACCTCAGCACTTCTGAGTCAGGGCGCCCCACCCTCAAGGTCTCCCACACCAGCAAGTTGAGCCAGATCAAAGCAGAAATGGCTCAAATACCCATGCTCAACAGGGTGGGTGCTGTAGGAACCAATCCGGGTGAGGAGGGACCAGAAGGAGCAGGTAAAGTAACCTTCCGTAAGGGTCAGGGAAGGAGGGGCTCTGGAAGAGAATGCAATTCTAACTCTGGGTCACCTTGACCTCTGTGTCCATCGACCAACTGCTTTCTCGACAGTGTCAGGCCCGAGTAACTCACTGCAGGCCTTGGGAGACTCACCTACCCTTTCTGCTCTGTGTCCTCATCTGGGGTACACGATGCTTTTTTATTGAGAGGTTCAGGGACAGAAATGCCTACCCTGGCTACTGTACAGGTGTGCCAGGGAGGTAGACCCCGGGACCACAGGGAGGGGAGTGTGGTTCTGCGGTTTAGTTACAACCCAGGAAAGCAATGGCAGGACGAGGTGGCTTCCCGCGGGGGAAGCAACTAGACCTAGAGGTTGGCAGGGCCTGTTGCTGGTGGGAACCCCGCCCTGGGGAGAAAGAAATGTATGTGCTGGACCAGGGCCACTCCCTACAGTAGGATGTTCGATCTTGGCCTAGGCTGTCTTACTCTAAGTAACAACAGACCTGGTCTGAGACGTGGTTACTCCTGGCCTTCAAGGTCAGGTAACGAGAAGTTGAATCTAACGTGTGGTTACTGAATCCTTGGAGAAAAGAGGAAGAAACGTTCCCCTTTTTGGTTAAGGTATGTAAGAGTGGTGAAAAATAAACTCGTGGCATTCAGTACTGACTGATTTGCCCTCCTGATTGTAGTCTGTGTCTCTGTCTATAGCTGGCCTTCCTTTAGTTCCCACTCCCTCTCTCAGGGACGAACTTCGGGCTGCTCGGCTGGCTCTGACTGCGGGCCCACAAACACAGCTTCCAACAATGTTTTAGCAGGGGGTGGGGGTGGGGGTAGGGGGGGTAGGAGGGGTGGGGGATGAGGCGCGGGGGGTGGGGCAGCCCTCCGAAGCTGAGGAGTGGCACCAAGTCTTTCACAGTGCCTGTTCCCAACTACACTACCAGGAAACTGAGGCCCAGGGGTTCATGATCCTTCCCGGGGATCCCCCACTCAGGGCATAGCCAGGCAGCTGGGGACAGGCAGAACTTGACCTAGCTCAACCTCCACCCCCATCCTGGTCCTTCTCCCCACACTGAAAGGGACTTTATGGGGACAAAAAAGTCACCCATTGTGTCACAGGAGACAAAGAGGCAAGAGACAGAGGCTCCAGGCGCCTGGGCAGGCCACACCACCACCACACACCACCCCCTCTGTGCCAAAGGAGAACTGTGGGAGGCACCTTGGAATTCCTGCTCTGGATGCCTTCTAGAACACTGGGTCCATCAAGATCCCGAGGAAGACAGGAGCCACCCAGCTGTCCCTTTCTCTCTCTGAAACGGGCACACAAGGAACCACGCTGAGTCACTCAGCCAGCACTCTCCCAGGGCCAGTTCTGTGCCAGGCTGTGCCAGGTCCATGGAAGGCAGCAGTGTGGTGGGCAGCTGGGCCTGGCCTGCCGGAGTCCACCTGTGCCTTGACTAGTATTCCAGATGCAGCCTTCCCCATGCAAACTGCTATTCGCAAGTCCTGCATCCAGAAGAGTATGTTTAAATCCCAGAGGTTCTCTCTCTCTCTCTCTCTCTCTCACACACACACACACACACACACACACACACACACACACACTGATGGCTGAGTCACATGGGTCAGAAATATCTTCAACTACATGATCCTTGAGAGGTAGAGGCAGGAGGGTTGCCACAAGTCTGAAGCTAGCCGAGACCCTATCCTGTCTCAATAACAACAGTAACTAAGTTTGTTATTATTTCATAGGAAAGCCTATGCAGCATGAACTCAGGCCCCTTCCTCCATAGCTCCAGTGGGAGCCCCATGAGCTCTCTGCAGCAGCTGTGCATGTCTCCTCCATCCAGGTGCGTGAGGCAGGTGGGGGCTCGGGGACTCCCACCCCTCCCTCGGTCTCTTCTGGCTTCCCAGCAAGTGGCAATGTGCCCACAAGAGTTTCAGAAAATTACAACGTCCAGTCTATGCTCCTCTCTCTTCCCCAGGGGGCCCCCATAACACCTGCCTGGGTCTTCCCTGCACTAGGACCCCTCTAGCCACAAGGGGCATCTCAGGAAGTGTTTGTTCTTGAGAGGGCCCAGGCCCTTGCACTCACTGCTCCAGCCTCCAGCTGGCCAGGCCCCCTCACTTCCTGGGCTTTCCTCTCTCTGGGCCCAACTTTTCCCCCCCAGAGAAGCGCTCAGCCCATTTCACAGAAGGAAAACTGAGGCTCTTTTAGAAGATGAGGATCTGACTTAAGGATATTCATGTGAAGGGTGCTGGACAGCCCAGGGGTAGACTTCCTTTCCCCTAGTACTGACTTCTGGGGACATTGTCCTGGAAACTAGTGCCTGGAAGAATTGTCACTGCCTGAGATGCCAGAGCTACCACACACAGCCTGTGAATGTCTCAGCTCTGTAAAGCCTACAGGGATCTGGCTGAGCAGCCAGGGGCAAGGCCTTCCTCATTCCTGGGGGGTGGGGGTGGGGCTGTGTGCCTGAGCCTATCTCTCCCATCTCCACTCCCAGGAGGGGCCGGTGCCACCCCACACACCCCAGGCCGGCAGAAGAGAAGTTTATCCGGTGTCAGATACCCAGCCCTGTCCAAGCTTCAGGGCCGCCTGCTTGACCCTCAGCCTAGTCCTCCCTTGGAGGTCCTGGTGCCACCCTGCCTCCCCTCCCTGAGCAAACAGGAGGAGCTCACCCTATCCAGCAGCAAAAGCCAGAGAGCCCTGTTCCGTCAGGACCAGAGCTGGGTCAGCGACTGCCCAGGAAAACAGCCCCGCCTCAGCTCACAGGAACCGTGAAGAGAATGGCCGACACGGTCTGGCCGCGGCAGCCTGAGCAATGATGACTGCCCGATGTGCAGGGTGACTTCGCAAACAGAGGTCACTTTCTGCTTACAGATGACTAGGAAAACTCCCAGGTTGCGTAGGCAGTAGTCCTGGACTCACTGCTGTGTGACCGTGAGGAAAGTACCTTCCCGTCTCTGGTCCTCATGGGCACCCACCCCTCTTTGGACATAGTCACAAACTATGTGTAACTCCTCACTTCCTAACATTTCCATTTATTTGTAAAGAAGAACTCTCTCTTTTTTCCTTTGGTTTTTCAAGACAAAGTTTCTCTGTGTAATAGTCCTACACGTCCTGGAACTCCCGTTGTAGACCATGCAGGCTTCGAACTCAGAGACCTGTCTGCCTCTGCCTTCCAAGTGTTGGGATTAAAGATGTGTGCAACCACCACCCAGTGAAAAGAATTCTTTTCTTTCTTTTTTCTTTCTGGTTTTTTGTTTGTTGGTTGGTTTGTTGGTTTTGGTTTTTCAAGGTTTTCCGTGTAGCTTTGGAGCCTGTCCTGGAACTTGAGCTGTAGACCAGGCTGGCCTCTAACTCACAGAGATCCGCCTGCCTCTGCCTCCCGAGTGCTGGGATTAAAGAGGTGTGCCACCATTGCCTGGTGAAAAGAATTCTTAATGGTTGCTCATTTGTTAATTTTGGTTCTTAAGAGACAGGGTCCTTGTACTTAGCTCAAGATGGCTGGTATGCCCTATGTGGCCCAGGATGACCTTGAACTCACAGATCTCCTTAGGCTCCTGACAACTGGGACCACAGGCATGTGCCAACATGCTTCAGCTGTTATATAATTTTGAAATAAGTATTATAGGGCTGGCAAGACGGCTCTGGGTAAAGTGCCTGCCACTCGGATGACCTGAGTTCCAAACCTGAGACTCACATGGTAAAAAGAGAACCACCTCCCACAAGCTGTCCTCTTCACTCGTGTAGTAGCTCGCCTGTGCTTACACACACAAATAAGTAACATTTAACTTAAACAATAATTCACATTATTTAGATACTGTTTTGGTTTTTGAGACAGGGTCTTACTGTGTAGTGTTGTATGGCCTGGAGATCACCATGTAGTGATCAAACGCAGAGTCTACCTGACCCTGCCTTCCGATCTCAGTGCTGGGATTAAAGTAATTACTTAAACCTGGTGGTGGTGGCGCACACCTTTAATCCCAGCACTTGGGAGGCAGAGTCAGGCAGACCTCTGTGAGTTCAAAGCCAGCCTGGTCTACAGAGTGAGTTCTAAGACAGACTCCTAAACTACAGAAAAATCCTGTCTAGGAAAACAGGAAAATAAAAAGCAATTAATTAAAATAATTGATCCATGCCTGACCCAATTTATAAATTTTAAAAATCTTTCATAAAAGTGTGTTGCTACAATTATTGTTAATCTCTTGCTGTGTTCAATTATAAATTAAATTTACCACAGCTGCATATGTGCAGAATTGTACCTAGCCCAGTCTCTGACTATTGTTAAGTTAAGCCACGGGAAAAGTAGCCAAGACCGTCTCCTTGACATGCATTCAGGCTGTGATTAATGCAGATGGCCAAGCTCAACACAGACCTTCTTAGTGACGTTGAATTGGGGGAAATATCCCAACTTGCCTCAGTTTCCAGAAGCCAGAAAGAAATAAAGTCAAAGGGGACAATTTCTCTTTAAAGTTTGTGCTCAGTCCTAGGAGGACAGAGACAGACTGACCCCACACGCCGGCCTGCCACCTCTGCCTAGCGTCCAGAGTGTGTCCTATCACCAGGGTGGTCATGGGGGCAGGTAGCTATTGGAGAAAGGACACAGCTGTGGCCTCCATGGAGGACACTTGGCACTCTCCATTCTACTCCCAGAGGCACAGTGTGGTGGCACAGGTCTGTTTTCTCAGCTATTAGAGAGGCTGAGACCAGTCCAGGGCCAGCCTGGGCTACAAAGTGAGTTCAGGATTGAAAAGAGTACAAAGAAGGCTGGGAGTGTGTTAAGCCAGAACACAGCAAACACACAACAGTGTGGAAACTGCCTGTGAACAGCCTGGTCTCTGCCGATTGCGGCCTGGGCAGGGTGAGGTGGGGTGCGAGCACACTGCACGTGCCCTCAGACCCTGGGGTCTCTGGGGTCCCACTTACAGAAACACGTCGCACGGATCTGCCAGTGGCAAATGTGAAGTCATGCACGGCAGAGGAGGGTAACACAGCATGGGGATTCAAGCATGCCAGGGTGCAGCTGCACCATGAGTTGCTACAGCACCAGGGAGCATGCTCCCTGTGCTAAGACCTGGAGCTGCATCTGTCAGCTGGGCTCTTACGTAGCTCCTGAGCCCCCATTTTAAAAATGAAGACTCTAGACTGGAGAGATGGCTCAGTGGGTAAGAGCAGTGGCTGCTCTTCCAGAGGACCAGGGTTTGAATCCTTGGACCCACACGGAGGCGCACAACTGTCTGTTACCTCAGTCCCAGTGAATCCAATGCTCTCTTCTTCTGGCTTCCCTGGGTACCAGGCACACATGTAGGCAAAATATGCATACATATAAAATTAAAATAATACATAATAAAATTTAAAAGATCTGGGCCTGGCATCTTTAGTTCCCAAGACCATGAAAATATGGAAATGAGCCAGGTGTTGGTGGCGCACGCCTTTAATCCCAGCACTCGGGAGGTAGAGGCAGGCAGATCTCTGTGAGTTCGAGGCCAGCCTGGCCTACAGAGCGAGTTCCAGGACAGCCTCCAAAACAATACAGAGAAACACTGTCTCAAAAAAACTTAAAAAAAAAAAAGAAAGAAAATATGGAAATGAAGGTTTGAAAAAAACCCAAAATGCATACAGCTTCCTCTGCCTGATGTGGGACACATCTTTGTGGGATATGGGTGTGGGTAGGCATGGCCCTGCACTGTGACACCACACTCCACGGGACTTTTCAGTGAGGCTGGAGGTCTGTGTAGTCACACACATCCCCGCCCCCAGCCCTCCTGCCCCACACACTGGTGACCACAGTTGGGGGTTGGCTAGATATGAAGATCACATTTTATTGATTTCTCTATGTACCACTGGGATGCTTGGCTGTAAATCTGATTTTGTTGTTGTTTTCAAAGAACAAAACTTTTTTTTTCTTTTTTTGTTTCTCGAGACAGGGTTTCTCTCCTTGAACTCACTCTGTAGACCAGGCTGACCTGGAATTCAGAGATCCACCTGCCTCTGCCTCTTGAATGCTGGGGATTAAAGGCGTGAACCCCCACTGCACAGCCGGACAAAACATTTAAAAACTGCAGTTGTTGGTCTGTAGAGAAATTGAGGAGTAGCCAAGTGAAGGACTGCAAAGACACTGTAGCCGCTCCACAGCGCTGAAGAGGCATGTGACACAAACAACCCACACACGTCAACATACCATAAAGCCACCCCTAGGCTCTAAAGCTACGCTTTCATTCATTTGATCGTGTGTGCACATGTTATATGCACGGGCATTCCCGTGCCATGCTGCCCTTACGGAGGTCAGAGGGCAAACTGCCAGAGTCGGTCTGCTCTTCTACCATGTGGGCTGTCAGACTTGGAAACACAAGATTTTGCCTGCTGAGCCATCTCCCACCACGATCCCACACCATCAGTACCAGGAGTGTTCCTGAAGTGCTTATAAAGGGACTGAAAATAGTCTAAAACGGCTGCCCCTCGCAAGATGAGAGACTGGATCCAAGGACAACTTTAGCACTATCAGCACATCTGGTTTTTCGTTTGTTTGTTTTGAGATAGGGTCTAGGTAGCCCAGGCTTAGCCCGAGCTGCCTTGGGTTTCCCAAGTCCCCTGAATGCTGGGTTGCACACACACACACACACACAAACCCCACCTGGCTAGGATTTTTGCTTGTTTGTTTTTGTTTTTCAAGACAGGGTTTCTCTGTGTAACAGTGTTAGCTGTCCTATAACTTGCTCTGTAGACCAGGCCTGCCTCCGTCTCCCAAGTGCTGGGATCAAAGGTGTGCACCACCATGTCTGGCCTTGTTTTAGTTTTTTAAAGGAGACTATATCCATATGCTCACTAGGTAATTACAAATAAATTCCCACTGGGTACGCATGCCTTTAATCCCAGTACGAGGGAGGCAGATAGATCTTTGGGAGTTTGAGGCCAGTTTGGTTCTAGAGCCAGGGCTGTTACACAGAGAAACCCTGTCTTGGAAAATAAATAAATAAATAAATAGATTCCCAGAGCTATCACGCTCTTTGCCCACCAGGAAGTAAGAGCATGGTAGGACTTAACCCTGCAGGGCACTGCGGCTTCCGCACAGGAACCTGCAGGCTCCGCTGAGGTTACAAAGAGCCTCACTCAGATGAGTGCTAAGGAATCTCCCAGCACTGTCACCCTGTCACCCCAGTTCCACCCTCCGCTGCTCACATCTGCTCAACAACCCAGCAGATCCTTCTCGGAAGTCAGAGCTCTTCTGGGCCTTATCCCTTCCCTCCGTGGAGAGAAACCAGCCTGCCTGCTGGGACGGACATGGAGCCAGAATCACCAGGAAGAGCTTCCTCATGTCTCCAAGAGCAAAGGGGTGAAGGAAGCCTTGAAGGCTGCCTTGTCCCAGAAACTTTCCACTTGCCTAAGAGTCCTAGCACCGTAGGGTTCAATGAATCCTGCCTTCATCATGTGCCAGGCTAAACCCTTGGCAGGCATCACTCTCCACCACCACCATTTTACAGACAAGTGTACAGGGGGTGGGGAATTTTTCCCTAGGATTCAAAGTTGAAAGGAGGCAGAGTCTGGATTTGAATCCAAGATCTCTGCTTCCAGGCCTACAGTCAGTGTTTTCAAAAATACCCTAGAGCACTATGGTGGTAGAGGAGGCCTCTAATCTGTTTGTTTACTAAAGAATAGGACTGTGTGGTTGCTCCCAATCCTAGGAGGAAGGCTAGGAAGTGCTCAATGCCAATGCCCCATTCCCTCAAGGTATATATAGCTCCCATGTCCTGGGCTTAATCCAGGAACTCTCCTAAATCCCCTCTGTTTCCCCTTCCTCTCATTATTTAGCTCAGGCTGGCCTCAAATCCATCATCCTCCTGCTTCAGTCTCCCACTCACAGGAGCACGAGGGTTATAGGCCTGTGCATCACCGCACCCTGTTAGAACCTTCTTCTGATTTTTTTTTGTTGTTGTTGTTTTTTTTAGACAGGGTTTCTCTGTGTCTTTGGAGGCTGTCCTGGAACTAGCTCTTGTAGACCAGGCTGGTCTCGAACTCACAGAGATCCACCTGCCTCTGCCTCCCGAGTGCAGGGATTAAAGGCATGAGCCACCACTGAGTGCAAATCCTACATGTGGGGCAGCAGCCTAGCTGCAAGCACCCTGCCCACAGTCATGTGGCTGCTTATCACTGAGTCCCAGGTAAGACTGTTCGTTCTTTGTCCCAAAGCTGGGTGGGGGTTGGGGGAGGGGAGTCGTGGAAGGTGGTTTAAAATTAGCAAAAGATGGGCACTTCATCCCCATCTTCTTCATAGTTTTTCTAAAGTCGTTAGGATGCACCAAGGGCACCTTCCGGCCACACACACAGCATTCTTCCCCTCCCTTGCCACACAAAGAACTGCAGCGCAAAACACTCTGGCACTTTGTGACTAGAAGAGCTGTCTCCGGGACACACTCGCCTGCCTGTTTAGAAGCTAGCTTCGAGGATTCACGTTTCTCCTTTGCTTATGCCACTAGGAAGTTCAGCCGTGAACCAACATTTTAAGCTTGCAGGCTTCCTGCTAGGCAACGTCACTGCATAGGTCTCTAAAGCCCGTTTCTCTCTCCAAACCATCAGGTTTTAGAAATACACTAACTCTTCTGTTTTAACGATTAATAGCACCTGATATTCGTTCTGGAGCTAGAGGGGGATGGGCGAGGCTACAGAGTAATAGAGACCATCAGACATCTGTACACTGAGACAGGTTCTGCTGTCCCGCTACCATGCTAAAGAACAATGTAGCCCAAGTAGCTTGGACTTCCTACTCACCCCCCTTTCCAGCACTGCAGGACACCCTACTCTCTGGGGTACACAGCAACCTGGGCAGCCACGACCACCATCTCCTCAGTTACTGCCTCCTCCAAGCAGCCTTCCCTGATTCCCACGGGCAGGCACTAGGCAGGGAGCCTCTCCCACATCCTCTGAAGTACCATACCCACACACTGTAAGAGAAAAACCAATGGCCAGAGAAGCCAGAAAACAACTCCCAGGAAGTGAGTGATTAGAAAGAAACTCCTAAATCTGCTTTTTTTATGTTAAGAGAAGAAAATCCAGCCAGGTGGTAGTGATGTACACCTTTGATCCCAGCACTCTGGAGGCAGAGGCAGGTGGATCTTCGTAAGTTTGAGGCCAACCTGGTCTACAATGTGAGTTCCAGGACAGTTAGGGCTGTTTACACAGGGAAACCCTGTTTCAAAAAACAAACAAAAAGATGCCTATCCAAAAGGTCTAGGCTAGCTTCCAGCGTGCTTCTGTGGCTTCCCAGCAGGTATGGTGCCTGTCTGTGCCCCTCCCCCATCCCGGCCCCGGTGGAGTAGTAGGTTGCCACAGAAACGTATTAGGAAACAGCGTCTCAGACTGGTATAGTCTCCAAGTAAAGTCTGTGGAACCAATATGGGGAAGGAGCTAGGAAGTAAAAGGAACCCATCACTTCACACCGCGATGTCTCAATGCTCCAAAACCTCCTAAGGCCACCCAGGCAACCAAGACCCCAGCTCTGGCCCCAGACGCATAGGGTGCAGCCCAGAAACTGGCGCTGCAATTCCTGCTCAGCCTGTGGGCTACTTTCCCCACCTCCACTCAGCCCTGCCATCTGTAGTCCTTCCAGCATTTGCTGTAACACCCCAGCCTCCGTTTCCACTGAAGACCCCGCTGGAAGGCTAGCCTTCTAGCCCCAGGGAAAAGGGTTTCAAACCGAACCAATCAAAAAACCAAATCGAACCAAGCCAAACCAAACCAAACCAAACCAACCAAACAACCAAACAAATCTCCAAGAGCCCCACCCTCCCGGGTGGACAACATCTACTGCTGCAGATTTAAATAGGTCCCAGAAGAGGGCATCATTCCGCCCCTCCCCAATCTCATCAAAACAAAAAGATTTTTAAAATGCAAATTTCTTGCTGAACTTCCGGAGATTCAAAGAGCAATTTCACATTTTTTTCCCGGGGGTGGGGCCCAAGAATCTGAATTTAAACAAACCCAGGCAGGAATTGGGGGAGGATGAAGGGTGAGGGTTCACGAAGAAAGATTAGAAACCCAGAAACCAAGGCAGCAGGCCCCAGGTGGAGGTGGCCGCTCCCCTGGAGAGCAGGGAAGACCTAATCTCTGCGGAGGGCCTCTCGACTCCCCAGCCTGGTCCTGGCGGCTTGGCTCGATGTGGCCACTGGAGGGATGGTGACAGAAAGGGATCTAATCTTACTCCCAGTGCCACCCTATGCGTCAGTTTTTGGAGACTACTCCCCCAGGGTCAGCCACAGGCCTCCAGACCCTCACAGAATATTGTGAAAAGACCGCTGACATCTCTGGATGCACCCAGTTGTTGGCGGGCAATTCTTGGGTCTTTGGCTAGGCCTGCACAGAGATCGGTGGGGGTGGCAGGCACGTGACTTCTGGCCTCCCCCGAATCTCACACCCCGGAGCAGGAGACTCGACCTGCGGGCCCTGGGCAGGTGCCCTGAAAGGAGCGCACGCGTCGGGGCCACCCACGCGCTTTCCTGCCCAGTCTGGGAGGGCTGCCGGGCTGCCTCACTGAGTGTTTGGAGCCGAGTGAAGAGGTGGGAAGTGGACTTTGCCCGGCGGAGAAGGCCTGGGCCGAGTCCCAGAGGGAAGGGGGCAGGAGGAGAGGAACAGACCGGCGGACAGTTGTGCCGGGCTATCTCAGCTGCGGGTTCGCAGCGGGAACCACCTAGGTAGGGTGTGGATTCCCCTCCAGATGAGTCTTACTGAGCTCTTAGGGATGCCACACGGGCATACGGAGGTGCGAGGTTCCAGGCGATCTCGGGGGCGGGCGTCATGGAGGTCCCTGGAGAGTCCCCCATCCCGTCACCGAGCTACCCCGCTCACCAGCTGCAGTAGTGCGAGCACCCCGAGGGCGGATCGCACGAAGCCTAGGTCTGGGCGCAGCGCAGACACCGACGCTCCCACTCCCTGCGCGGGGCTGCTGGTCCTTGTGCTCACTTTGGACGGGAACTCGGCCATGGTGTTTGGGAGCCCACGACGCTCCGGCCGCGCTCCCGGCGCTGCTCCGGAGCTGCGACTGTGGCTCCCGCTGCCGGCTCTGCTTGGGATCCCTGGGCAGAGCCGCCAGGTGCGCGACTCCCCGCCCCGCAACGCCCGAGGCCCCGCCCCTCTTGAGGCTCCACCCCTTAACCCTGGGATCGCCTGGCTGTTCTGGACAGCGATCTTCAAGTCCTGGTCCCACATCCCGACCAACGCGGTCTGGCTCTCTCCCACATAGGCCTAGGGTGCTGTGTGTCCTTGGGCAATCCCCTGTGGCCCCTAGGAGGAAAGCGGGTCTGTGAATCCGCGTCCGGGAAAGGTCCACCCAACTAGGGGTACGCAGTGCAGGACTGTCCTTTCTAGACTCCGGAGAGGGGGGGGGCGTTCCTTTCTAAATAGATAAAGCAAGCCAGGGAGGAGACTCACACCTGTAATCTCAGCACTCTGGAGGAGTGAAGGAGAGGGTATCACGGAAAATTCAAGGCTAACCTGATTGTATAATGAATTCCAGGCTTGCCTAGGCTACAGGGTGAGACCCTGTCTCAAAACTAACTAAACTAACTAACTAACTAGTAACACTACCCAAGGCAGAGAGGCATATGACTAATTCCAGCACTGAGAGGTTAGGAGGATCAATTCGGGATTATTTTGGGCTACATAGTGAATTCCAGGCAAGCCAGAGATACATGGTATCTAGTCAAAAAAAAAAAAAAACCCAACCAAAACAAAAAACAAAACCAACAACTAGAAGTCTAGTTTAGTGACACATACTAATCCCAGATACTAGGAAGCGGAAGCAGTGATATAGAAAGTTCAGGGCCCGTCTGAGCTACAGAGTAAGCTCAAAGCTAGACTGGGAAATTTCCTGGGTGGCTGTTTCAAATTCTTTCTTTTGTTTTGTTTTTTGAGACAAGGTTTTTCTTGTTTTTTCCAGACAGGGTTTCTCTGTATTGTTTTAGAGGCTGTCCTGGAACTAGCTCTTGTAGACCAGGCTGACCTCAAACTCACAGAGATCCGCCGAGACAGGGTTGTTCTATGTAGAAGAGAACTCACTCTCTAGACCAGGCTGGTCTCCAACTCATACAGATCCACCTGTCTCTGCCTCTCAAGTGCTGGGATCAAACGTGTGCGTCAAATTTAAAAATTACAAAGCGGGTTGGGGAAGGAGCTACAGGGCAGAGTGCTTCTCCTTGTGTGGCAGAGCAGGCGCCAGTCCCTGGGTGGGGCCTCCGCGCTGCGCATTGTAACTGCCTGTCTAGAACTTGGAGATGGTTGAACACTGGCTCCTTCTCTGCCCTAGAGGGTGTGCTGGTGCTCACTCTGAAGAGCTGTCTGGGGAGAGCAAACGAGCTGTGGAAACCTGGGACCATGTCAGGGAGAGTTGGCCTGGGGGTGGGAGGAGATGCTGGATTTCCCTGCTGAGTCACAGAGGTTTGCACAGACACTTTGTGCATTCTGCACATTTACAGCTAGACCGGCCCTCAAGGGTCCCACTGCCTATGTGGGGCAAGCAGTAAGTGACAAGTGATAGACCAGGGAGGGAAAATAAACTCAGGTAGTGACAACTGCTGCTGTGACTGAATCAGACAGGGGTGAGACAGAGTGGCCAGGAGGAGAATTTGGAAGGATGGCTGTCTTGGGGTTTCTACGGCTGTGATGGACACTATGACCAAAGCGACTCGGAAAGGGTTTCTTTGGCTTATGTTTCCACTTCGCTGTCCATCACTGGAGGAAGTCAGGACAGGAACCCAAGCAGGGCAGGGACCTGCAGGCAGGAGCTGATGCAGAGGCCATGGAAGGGCGCTGCTTACTGGCTCGCTCAGCCTGCTTTCTTATAGAACCAGGGACCACCAGCCCAGGAATGGCACCGCCCACCATGGGCTGAGCCCTTCCCCATCAATCACTAAGAAAATGCCTTACAGGCTTTCCTACAGCCCCGTGCTATGAAGTCATTTTCCCAGCCCAGGTTCGCTCATCTCAGATGACCACAACTTGTGTTGAGTTGACATAAAACTGCCAGCTATCAGCCGGGTGTTGGTGGCGCACGCCTTTAATACCAGCACTCGAGAGGCAGAAGCAGGCGGATCTCTGTGAGTTCGAGACCAGCCTGGACTACCAAGAGAGTTCCAGGACAGCCTCCAAAGCCACAAAGAAACCCTTTCTCAAAAAACAAAAAAAACAAACAAACAAACAAAAAAAACCGCCAGCTATCAGAAGCAATGACACTCGAGCAGAGACCTGCATCTGTGGGCAGGAGGAAACTCTGGAAGGATTTAGGTGAAGAACTTAGTCTGTGCAAAGGTCCTGTGGCGGAACCTAGTTAGGCAGCTGGAGAAGTGGAAAGCAGGCCCCAGGGGGCTGGAGCAGAGCACATGAGGGTGAAACTGGTCTCGTGGGTAGGGCCCAGGACACAGAGGCCGTGCAGATGACGGACTATCCTGTGGCTGCCATGACAACGTATCACAAGATCAGCACCTTAAAGTAACAAAAATCTCTTGTATCTTAGTTATGTATCCTAGAGTCACAGTTAAGGCGTCCTAGGCGGTCAGCCTCTGGGGCTTCTACTCTTTCTTTCATTTTTTTTTTTTTTGAGACAGAGTGATTGCTCTGCAACCCAGACTAACTTCATCATTCTTTTGACATTCATCTTACCTCAGGTCCCCACATCTGGGATTCTGGTATCCTGCCTAGCCCTGCTTTTCTGGATATTAAACTCTCCTCTTCTGACACACAGGACCTCTCTCTCTCTCTCTCTCTCTCTCTCTCTCTCTCTCTCTCTCTCTCTCTCTCTCTCTCTCTCTCTGTGTGTGTGTGTGTGTGTGTGTGTGTGTGTGTGTGTAAGAATATAGTCATGACCCATCAGATAATAATAAGTTCAATCTCCTCAAATCAGGAACCTTAACTATTTATTCTGTCATCAGTCACTTAATGATCTGCAAAGATCCTTTTTCTTTTCTTTTAAGACAAAGTCTTGTATAGCCCAGGCTACCCCTGAAGTTGATATGTGGCCAAGGATGGATTACAAACACTAGTTTATGCTGTGTTGAGAATTGAACCTGGGCCTTGAGCACGCTAAACAAACACTCTAACACCAAGCACTACACACTATGCCCAGCACACTACACCAGTGACCCTTTTAGTTCTTGAAAGTTTGCTTGGAACAGTGGTTCTCAACCTTCCAAATGCTGTGACCCCTTAATACAGTGCCTCATGTTGTGGTGGCCCCCAACCGTAGCATTATTATTTCGCTGCTACTTCAGAGCTGTAATTTTGCTACTGCTTTGAATTGTAATGTAAGCATCTGGTACGCAGGATATCTGATATATGACCCCTGAAAGGGTCACAACCCATAGGTTGAGAACCTGTGGTTTGGAGGTTACAGCAGCAGAGGGCAGCTGCTCAGAGATCCTCAGGGAAAGGCGGTCCTTCAGGGAAGGGTTGTTCTCTCCCACTGGGTGTGCAGCAGGGGCGCCCATGGAGCCCCGAGGGAGCTCAGTCATCTGAATCTACCCTGGAGACCAGTGGGATGGCAGATCACACTGTCTTTCTTTCCTTTTTTTACAGGATTTCTCTGTGTATCCTTGGCATACTTTCTTTCTTTTGGCTTTTTTTGAGACAGGAGCATCTTGCAAGGTTGCCCAGGTTGGCCTCAAATTTGCAGCAGATTGGATTCTCTTCTATCTCTCTGGTTCTTAGAGCTACCACACCTGGAGATTGATTGATTGATTGATTTCTTTTTTTTTCTTCCTTTCTTCCTTACTTCATTCACTCCTCCCTTTCCTCCCTTTTAACTAAAGTCCAGGCTAACTTTGAACTCACTACATAGCTGAGAATGACCTTGAACTCCTGATGTCCCTACTTCTAAAGTCCAAGTGATGAGTGTCATGACAAACCACGTGGGGGACCTTGGCCGATTCCATGGCAGGTGAGGGTGATTGAGTCGGGGGACAAACATGCCAGGCAGACAGAGCTTAGTGAGAAGTTTTATTAGAAAGGGGAAGGGGGAGGGAAGGAAAGAGAAAAGAGATACCGAGACAGAGAGAGGACAGAAGAGAAGAGGGAGACAGGAAAAGTCCTGTCTGCCCCAGGGGAACAGTGGGAAAGAGAGAGCAGAAAGAGAGCATAAGTGGGTGGGGGGTCTGTCTTTAAAGGGGTCTTTTGCACCTGCGTGCAGAAGAGTAGTCATGGAACCCTGGGCTGACCAGGTATTGCCCAAGCGCACTCTGCCAGGTGACAGGCCAGCCAGCATAATGCCTGCATCCTTACCATCAATGGGATTACAGGTGTGTGTCATCATACCTGGGTCTGTCCTTTGCCTTTTTTTTTTTTTTACTTTTTTTTTTTCTTTTTTGAGACGAGGTTTCTCTGTGTAGCCCTGGCTGTCCTGGAACTAGCTCTGTAGGCCGGACTCCAAGAACCACCTGTATCTGCCTCTGGAGTGCTGAGATTGAAGGTGTGCACCACCACTGCCTGGCTAACCTTTTCCTTTGTAAGATAAGTCCACAGATTTTGAGGACCAGAACAAAGAGATTTGGAATATCATTAGATGGTCATTACTTAGTCCTCCGAAGTGATGTCTGTAGGGTTCTAAACCGGCATGGTGGTGCAAGACTGTCCTCTCTTTATGGAATCAGGAGTTCGAGGTCATTCTCACATGCCTAGTGAGACCCTTTCTCAGAAAGACAAGACAGGAGCATTTTAAGATCTTGGGACTTTGACAGAATGTCTGGCTGATGGTGGCTTAACCTTTTACCCATGCAAACTCTTCTCTCCAAGACTCCTGGGACCCTTGGGCATGCACTCGCGTGTGTGTGTGGGCCCACACACACATACACACACACACACACACACACACACACACACACACACACACCATCCAAAACAGCTACTCTGCAAATGAAAAGTGCATTTCAGTACTGCAAAACTGTAACCCAGAGACCAGTCCAAGTTTAGCACAAAGCTGGGGTGGGCCCTTAGCTTTATTATGACACAGAGAACAATAAGGGGATTGTTTTTGAGGCAGATTCTAAAACAGTAGTGTGTTTTTGTTTTGCCTTTGGTTTGCATTCTGCCGTTTTGGTTAATCCCACTTTCATTCCTTTCAAATGGCATCGTGGAGCCCTGGCTCAACCACAGCCACCCCCATCAGAAAAAGTGGGAGGGGATCTGAGCTAAGCTGGAGCCAGCTACCCACCCAGAGCCACACTGATACAATGAGAGCTCGGGGACAGACAGACAGACAGACAGACAGACAGACAGACAGACAGACAGACAGCCGGGGGTGGGGAGCCAGCTTGGCCCTCTTTCCAGGGATGGTCTCTGCTCACACAGAGCACCTGTGACCAGCCACTTGCTCCTATTCATTTTTGCGCAGGGCTCTATTCTGTCAAAAGTCTGGGCCTGCCAGGATCGGGGAGACACTGGGATTCTTCATAGAGCAGATGAACCTCATCATGTAAGGCCTGTAGTCCTAACTACAGTGGCAGGGGGATCACCCTAAGTTCCAGGTCAGCCTGGCCTGTATAGAAAGACCTTGTCTCAGGAATGTCAACAGGCCCAGGAACAGTGAGTGGCCCCTGCCTTTAATTCCAGCACTCAGGAGGCAGAGGCAGGCGGACCTCTATGAGTTTGAGGCCGACCTGGTCTACATAGTGAGTTCCAGGTCAGCCAGTGCTACCTAGAGAGATCCTCAAACAAAACAAAAACAAAAAACAAACAAATAAACAAACAAACAAAAAACCAAAAAGCATGACCACAACAAAACCCTAATTAACTGGCTAATTAAAATGAGAGATGATCTTAAAAAAAACCAACAGGGGCTGGGAGTATGACTCAGTGGGTTAAGGCACTCACTATCCGTGCAAGCCTGAGGACCAGGATTCGAGTCCCTGGCATCCAGGTAAAAAGCTGGGCTAGTGGTGACTGTGACTCCAACACTGATTCAGTGAGAGACGCTGCCTTGGAGCAACAAGACAGAGCAATAGCAGAGGAACATGCCCGACAGAGGGCTCACCCGCACCCCCTCCGCGATGGGGGGCTCACCCGCACCCCCTCCGCGTGTGTACACATGACAAAAACAAGAAGACAGACTAGAAGAGTTGAGAGATGCTGTAATGAGAAAACAATACACAGAGCAGGTCACTGAAGGATACTAGCACCATTTTGATGAACAATTCTGAGAAACGCACAGGAGGCTTCCTGCGGGCTTCTCGGTTCCCATACTGACGGTTACGTCATTGTGCTGATGCCGTGGGGTGCTCCTTCCAGTTTAGCTATTAAATAAGAATTCATTCATTCATCCGCATGTTTTACTCCAGCCACAGCTCCTTCTGCAGGTCCATCTCTGCCCTTTAGTGAATGTCTGCCAAGACTTGGATGAATTTTCCCAGATCTTTTTCTATGTTTAAGTTTTCTCTGATTATATGTACAAATATAGAGACTTGAGTGTGCTTATTTAAAAACCTTTACTTGCTTTAAAATGGGATTATTACACATATTGAAATATTTTTAATTATTATTTATTTTCTGTGTGTGGTTGCTTTGCCTGAGAATGTTTTATGTGCACATACATGTGGTACCTGAGGCGGCCAGACGAGGGCAGTGCATCCTCAGGAACTAGAATCCCATCTGGCATGTGAATGGATCCGGGACTCCAACCAGATCCTCTGCAAGAGCAGCCAGTGCTCTTAGCTGCTCTTGTGCATGTGGGGTGGGTGCGCCCATGGGTGTGTGTGTGTGTGTGTGTGTGTGTGTGTGTGTGTGTGTGTGCGTGCGTGCGTGACAATTGATCGCCTGGTACAGCATGTGTGTGGAGGTCAGAGGTCAGCCTCCGGTTTTGGTCCCACCTTCCACCTTAAGGTTCTGAGGCTGCTGGTTCTAGGCAAGCTGTCCCCAGAGCGATTAGGTATTCTCCTGCTTCTCCTCCCATCTCACTTGTGGGGACACTGCACTGTGTTCGGCTTTACAAAGGCTCTGGTATTAAAACTCAGCTCCCCAAACTTGTACATCAAATGCTGATGTTGACCCTCCGTAGTGAAAATTCCACTACTTGGGGTGGCTAGATAGTCCCTTCCTCACCCTACCACAGGCTGACACTGACTTCCAGTCAGGCTGGTGCCAAGGTTTTGGTGTTTCGAGACAGGGTTTCTCTGTGTAACACCCCTAGCTGTCCTGGAACTCGCTCTGTAGACCAGGCTGGCTCCGAACTCACAGAGATCTGCCTGCCTCTGCCTCCTGAGTGCAGGGATTAAAGGTGTGCGCCACCGCCGCCCTGCTGATATATATATATATATATATATATTTATTTATTTATTTATTTTTTAGGACGGGGTCTCATGTAGCCCAGGTTAACTTTAAACTCACTATGTAACTTCAGATCCTCCTTTCTTCACCTCTCCACAGCTAGAATTATGGGCATGTGCCGTCACACCTGCTTTATTGCTTGACATTTTAAACTGAGAAGCAATTCCAGCAGGGCAATGGTGGCCCATGCCTTTAATCCCATCACTCAGAGGCAGAGGCAGGCAGATCTTTGTGAGTTTGAGACTAGCCTGGTCTATAAAGTGAGTTCCAAGACAGCCAGGGCTACAAAGAGAAACCCTAGTTACTTTCTTGGGAGACAAGGTTTCCTCACGTAGCCCAGGCTGACCTAGAAATTTCAATCCTCCTTTTTCAGTGTCCCAAGTGCCAGGATGGCATACGCACCATCGCATCTTGAATGTTTTAAACTTAAGCATCCATTTACAAACGAAAATAGAAAAAACAATGATTTACAGGAGAAGGCTGCAGCTAAGTGAGTAGCATGCTTGTCTAGCAGGCATGCAAACCTGGTGCTATGTGTCTTCAATTCCCTCAGTGCGGAGGCAGGAGGAGCAGAAATTCCAGGATCAGGAATTCAAGGATCGTTTACTATCTATAGATTTTGAGGTCATCTTGGGCTGGGTGAGACCTTGTTTAAAAAAAACAAAACAAAACAGAAGGAAAGGAAGGAGAAACGAATGAAGGAAGGAAGGGGAAGGAACAAAGGAAGGAAAAAGAAAGAAAAATCACACACACAAAACCCACAACACAACAGAATCTAAAGCCAAACAACAGAAATCGACAAACGCCAGAGTTGGGAGAATATGGGGTAGGAGCCCTTGTTCACTGATGTTGGGAAATAGCAAGGAGGTGAGGGTGGTGGTGTTTCCTTGGTAAAAATTAAGACTAAACCCGGCTTGGTGGCTTATATGCCTGTGTATATTCGTGGCATTCAGAAGACGGAGGCAGGGGAATAGTGAGTTAGGTCCAGGCTAATCCAAGCTACACAGAAGATCCGGGTCAAAAGGCAACCAACCAATCAGCCACACAAACGAGCAAACCGTGTGGTTTCAAACTATCAGGCGTGTAGCAATTTGTTACAGCAGCAATAAGACACCTCCACTGGGTGACCACTGTCTTGTCGTAATGTTTCTGGCGACCCGGCCATCTGCTCAGACGCCCTGTCACCTTACCCTCAAACTCTCCTACAGACCATCCATCCGCCGGTCGGGGCTCAGGCTCCAGGTCGGTGAACACGAAGGACACCTTCAGTTTCTTTGGTCTGGGAGGGTGTCGAGGGCAGATGACAATTCCCTTAAATTCTCCAGTTGCTCAGCAGCTGGCCATCCTCATCCCGGCCGCCCTCTGCAGAAGCCACTGCACCCTGCGACTCGGAGCCAGGTGTCTAGAATTGAGTAACAGTAACTCGCCCTTGTGTTTACGACTACAGTTCTTTTTTTATAGAACGTAAGACAAACAGGTTTCCCTTGTTGTTTTCAGTGGCAACAACTAGACGCCAGTTTGAGAAGAGGGGGAGCCTTGTCAACCGTGTGTGTGTGTGTGTGTGTGTGTGTGTGTGTGTGCGTGTGTGTGGTTTATTTAGTTTTTTGCTTTTTTGAGTCTAAGTCCATAGCCCAGGCTGGTCTGGAACTCAGGGCGATTCTTCTGCTTTAGATCACTGCATGCTAGAATTACAGGTGACGGTCACCGCGCCCTGCTAGTGCCGGTGCTTTTTAACCCTGGGTGGACGGGACTGTACAAGTCGCACAGAGAGGGAGAGACGCAGGCTGAAGGCACCAAACAAGCTCGTGCAGATGGCGGCAGCGGCAGTGAGGGCGAGAATGTGGATGAGAACAGGAATACGGATGTAAGGGGGCGGCTTGGCATCGCAGAGTGCCAACAACTAAAGTAAACACGAGAGGAAAGTTTATGTATGTCAGGATGGCCGAGCGGTCTAAGGCGCTGCGTTCAGGTCGCAGTCTCCCCCTGGAGGCGTGGGTTCGAATCCCACTTCTGACAAACTGATACTTTTCTTGTAAGTTTAAAGTAGGTAACCACTGAAGAACACTCGCGTCTTGGTCCTTTTAATTGCCATCGTACACTTTTCAAACCCATCCTCTTCCTAATACGTACCTTTTTTATTTGAAACTGTAAAACGAATTCAGGAGAGGTAGAAAAATTTTAAAACTCCCACTCTGCTCCTGCCAGTGCCACCCCCTTCCCAAATTTGCTTCCGGATTTTCAGGGAGGATTACAGGGAAAGAAAATAGAAGTGCTGTCAGAAGTGGGATTCGAACCCACGCCTCCAGGGGAGACTGCGACCTGAACGCAGCGCCTTAGACCGCTCGGCCATCCTGACAACTGAAGGAAGGGATTGTAGGCATAGCTCTTTGTAGGATTCTCAGTGTGCGCATGCGCACCGAGTACAAGTTGCCGTACGGGGCGGAGCAAGTGCCCTGTGCAGTGCGACAAAGCAACCAGAAGAGGACGCTCGCCTCCCGCTGGAAAATTCGAAAGGCACTAGACTCGTGTATGTTCTATTGGGATGAAAACAGAAAAACTGCCTTTCAGCTTTGTCTCCTTCGGATCTGCCACCAACCTTGCATTTTCGTGGGGTTTTTTTTTTGCGTGTCTTTTTGGCACGTGACAATCAGGTCCGTATATACTAGTGACAGCTAACAGTGCTTGGCCTCTGCTACCCAGACCCGGTGACGTCCCAAGGTCCCGGCCCTGTTGCCCAACAGTGATCAAAACCGCAGCTTCCCATTTGCACGGTTACTGGTTTGTTTCAGACTCTAGCTTGGATGAACTAACTGTGCGGCGGCACGGTCTGATCCGGGTTCTGGCCGGTCCCCGGTGCCCACACAGCGTCAGCGACACAGTGAGTGTGCAGGACAGACCTCCCCTACCCCGCGCCGCCTCTCGTCCTGCGGTTTCGTGACGCATCACCTTCTTCTCTTCCTTTTTGCCCCCTTCTTTTCAAACCTCAGACTTGCTCACCAGCACCAGAGAATCTCAGCCCCGTGGGTGCCGTTCCCCATGGGATTTCTAAAGGTTGAAGGCACCTTCCTCCTCCTGGGACCTCAGGCGTCTGGGGCGCTAGGCTTCTCGGAGGCCGCAGACGCACCGGCGCGGGGACCGGAGCCCTTGCTGTGTGACGATGGCCGGCGCGGGTTCTCCCCGTGCTGAGGATCTGAAATGAGAGTCCGGGGGTCAAGCCCAGAAGACGTGATCACCATGATTCAGCGGGTCCCTCGGAGACCTCGCATTTGCCTGAGATTCTGTAAAGAGAGGTCCGAGGAAGGAGACAGGACCGCCCACACCTGCCTCAGGGTACCCAGGGCTTGGGATGTAATCTGGGTGAGTCAACAGAGACCCTGGTTATTATTCCCGATGTGTCCAGACTCCCACGTCGGTTTGCAATGGCCTTTCCTGAAATGCACGTCGTGCCGACAGTGTAACCAAACCTAGATAAACATCTGCCGAGCACCTGACGTGTGTCAGATGCTTCCGGGTGCCTTGAGCGAGCCTGGACGCCCTCACTCAAGTCTGCTTCATGGGAGGAAGGCGAGACATTCGATGGATAAGCTCGAGGACGGAAGGGATGCTTGAGAGTCTGAAGCAGAAGAAAAGACACACACTGTCCCCTTGGGCGCACCCATGCAGCTGACGTTTCCGTTTGTGTTAAATAAACTTATTCATTCATTTTTTGTGTATGTGAGCTTGTGCGTGTACAGGTCACAAGACGAGCTCTGTGGAGTTGGCTCTCTCTCCTTTAACCTACACGTGGGCTTAGACTCAGGCTGTCAGGCTTACACTGCAAGCGCCTTTACCCTGAGCCATCTCTCTGTCCCCTTCGATTTTTCTTTTCTTTTTCTTTTTCTGGACAGGGCCTCTCTATGCAGCTCTGGCTGGCCTTGAGACTCAGAACTCTGTCTTCCAAGTGCTGTGATAGCAGGGGTTCTAATTTGCTTGTCTGTAGCTATGGCAAACAATCATGACCAAAAACAGCTTGGGGAGGAAAGGGTTTATTTCATCTAAGTAGTCCGTTATCCAGGGAAACCAGGGCAGGAGCTTGAAGCAGAAACCACAGGGGAAGGGCTCCCTGGCCGGCTCCCAGGCTTTCTTATTCGGTTCAGGCCCACCTGCCTAGGAATGTACAGCCCCTGCATGGGCCTTCACTGTCAAATTAGTGACAGGCCAGTCTTACTTGCGTTCAATTCCTGGAAACTATGTAAAGGTGAAAGGAAAGAACCAGCTCCTTTAGTAGGTACTCCCTTTCTCTCTCTCTCTCTCTCTCTCTCTCTCTCTCTCTCTCTCTCTCTCTCTCTCTCTCTCTCTCTCTCTCTCTCACACACACACTCTCTCTCACACACACACATACTCTCACACAAACTTGATCACACACACACCACACACACCCCACCAATAATAATAATAACAATAATGGCTATGTGACAGAGGTAATCCTTCAGTTGAGGTTCCCACGTCCCAGGGGGGTTGGGTTGGCAACCAAAGTTCACCATCAGGAGCCATGTGCACCACAAAGTCCTGCCTCAGTAGCTGAGACCATGACGGACTCCTGCCTTTCGAGCCTTTTTAGTCAGTGTGGAACACAATCAGCCATCGTCCTGCAGGCACTAAGATGTCTGTTTATCCATTTTTACATTCGTGCCAGCCTTCTTCTCAATTGTCAGCAAGCAGGCTGGCCTCGAACTCACAGAGATCCACCTGCCTCTGCCTCCTGAGTGCTGGGATTAAAGGTGTGCGCCACCACCGCCCGGCCCTCCTTTCTGTTTCTTATGTGTGCATGATTGTGGGGCGTATGTGTGTGCTCAATCGTGGCAGCCAGAGAATGAGCTCAGGAGCTGCTCCTCAGACCCTGGCCATTTGTGCTTTAAGACAGGGTCTTCTACTAGGATGTGAGATTCGCCACTTATGCTATGGTGGCTGATCAGTGACACCTCCCCTCCCTGCATTGGATCCCCAGGGCAGAGATTACAAGCATGCACAGGCACTGTGACATCCACATAAAGGCATCACACACCTCATGGCATATAGCCACTCCCCACAATAATAGTAATTAATGATAGTAATAATAATAATAATAATAATGAGTAAGATTTGGCAGACAAGCAAGTGATTGGGAGCCACACTTGGTGGTGCAAGCCTTTCATCCCAGCACTCAGGAGACAGAGGCCAGTTGGTCTCTGTGTGAGTTCCAAACTCTCCAAGTCTATCCAGTGAGACCCTGTATCAAACCAAAAACAAACGAAAGTAACGATTAAGAATGGTTAGGGGCTTTCACAAATAGTGGGTAGAAAAGGCCTCACAAAGCTTCCGTGAGTTCAAAAGGAAAGACACAAAATCCGTGTTGTCTGGATGGGAGACAGTGAATGCAGGGGTCTCGGGCAGGGGAGGGGGCTCTCGAGGAGGGGAGTGGCACATTGGAGCCAGTGAGACAGGAGAATCGGGATGCAGGGGCCTCAGGTCAAACCAGGCGGGGTCCTAGGGAGAGGACTTTAGCATATGATTGTCTGTAATGTAATCATCGGAGTCCATATGGTGGGTCCTGATGGCCCTTAAAACAATTCCTTTAGCTGTACGTGGAAAAACAGGTGAGAGTTAGAGAGGAAGCAGGGAGACTTGGCTGGGAAGGCCAGATAGAGTGGAGGCCTCCTGGAATGTGGGGGACACCAGGATACAGAGAGAGGCTGCCTGGCCTGTGGGGACATCAGGATACAGAGAGAGGCCGCCCGGAATGTGGGGGAACCAGGATACAGACAGGGGCCTCCACGCCACAGGAAGTCATCAAGACCACAGAGACAGGTGCTCGCAGGCAGAAGTTGGAGTTTTACTTTCAACCACGTTGCTCAAGGTCCCGGTTGGCGCTGGGGCCCAGCGCTCCTGGACCACCCCATCTCCAGTACCCCAGCTTTCCGGAGTGCACATCCCTTCACAGAGAAGGCAGGTCCGGAGCACAGGTGGGCTGCCGCAGCCTCTCCCTGGCCTGTAGGGATGAACACTTGCCAGGCAGCCGCGTCTCCTACCCCTCGTACCTTTGTGGGTGACCACTTTCTGGCCCAGAGGAGGCTGCTCACAACCTCATTCTGACCTGAACTCCCCAAAGCCCACAACATCGTCCTTCCTCTAGCCAGAGCCCCGAACGGCCACTACAGCCTGAGGACAAACCTCCCCCCTCCCTCCTGGCCAAGCGTCTGTCCATCTTAGGGAGGAAAGTCCCTGGGCTGACCTGGAAAATCCACCAGCAGCAGGGGAAGTCCCCGTGTGGCTCCTGAGGTGCTGGGCTCTGGTCACCAGTGTAGCCAAGTGGTCACATGGGGAGACCTGGAGACTATTCAGAAAAGAGGTGCGCTCCTAGTATTCCCGTGGCACCGGCTCGCATCACACCCTCTTCCAGGGGAAACGGAGGCTGGAAGCCAAATTTTAGCAAGTGCCTTCTTATCTCCGCTGTGAACTTCATGGCCCTAACAGCACCACAGTGATGTATGTCATCCATATTTAATGGATGAAAAGAATAAAGTTCAGAGAGGCAAGTAGCTAGCTGACAGACAGCTAATAAACGCGCCTGTTTATCTGCAGCAAAACTCCCTCCTTTGGGGGTTGGTGCTGAAGAGTGCTTGCTGTTGCTTCAGAGGACCTGAGTTCGGGTCCCAACACCCACGTCTGCAGCTCCAGGAGATCCCACGCCCTCTTCTGGCTTCCAAGGGCACCTACATGTGCATATATAGAATTTTAAAAGAGGGAAAAAAAAGGCTTCTACAATGCTGTGTGTCTGCTGCTATGCTGGTGACTTCCTAGGTAGTCTCTTCATGATCTTGGCGGCTGAGTCGTCTCTCCAGCCCATCCAGCTTTATAATTAACACCAAGGTGCCTGAAACAGATTTTCTTTAGCTTCCCAATACTGACTTTAAAATTATTTTTGACAGAGATCTCATTCTATAATTTATGCTGGTCCCCGATTCATGGCAAATCTTCCTGCCTCAGCGCCAGAGTGCTGAGATTACATGCACGAACTACCAGGCCCAACGTCCAAGCGAGTCTTTGCCCTCCAGCCCTGCAGTACCTCATGACTCTGCCTCATCCTGGTCTCTCTCCCTTGCCCCCTTGAGAGGAAGAAGAAACTTTCAAGCTATGAGAGCTTGCTGAGTCAGGTGCAGGCTGGACCTGGAGGGCTGTTTTTAGCACTGTTTTCATTATTAAAGGAGACTAAAAGAATGGGTTAGGTTTTTCCCAGCATGGCTGTCCAAGCAGTATGGCCAAGGTTTTGTGTTCCTGGCTGTGCTTTCCTTGGCTGAAGGAGGAGGGCAGACGCCGTCAGGCGCCAGGGATGAACTTGTGCCAGGGCTCTGGTCTGGCATCTCAGCCTCTGTGGGAAAGCAGGACATCCCAGGGGACAGGAAGTGTGACAATGAGGTGGATGAGGTAGGCAGAGTCTTTAAGGCAAGAGGTGAGGCCTATAAAAGACCTCCAAGGTTACCCCCCCCAACCACCCTCTGTGGCCCAGTTTTTCATTTTGAATGGGTCACATGGACTGTGAGTGTTTCCGTGTGACCAGAATGGTATCAAAGCCAGGAGTTTACTTTCAAGTTCTCTGGAATGCTTAGCATGGCCTGAGGAAAACTTTGACCACCCTAGAAAGAGATGCCCAGGAGCAATGGAGACTCCCCTGTTTGCCACCCTGCAGAGCAGGAGCATGGAGAGCCTGTGGATTGGGGACACAGGGTTCACACCAGCTTCTGCTCTCTGCCAGCTCTGCGATCTTAGGGGGCGTGACTTGGCCACAGTTTCCCACCCTTCAAGGGTGGATTCTGCAATGGAACCTGTGGACAAGTTAGGACAAACCGGGCACTGGCTGACCTGGCACGCAGAGCTGCCTGTGAGGGGGACTCTGGTGACACAGGCAAGACTGCATCTCTCCACCTGGTGAATGCCGTGGGGCGGGGTCTCACTGCCAATTCTCCACCTGGTGAATGCCATGGGGCGGGGTCTCACTGCCAATCCAACCCCACAGCGGGGCTTCCTGTAACGTCACCCACCCACCCCCAGGCTGTCCTGCCTGCCTCACCCGAGGCACCCAGAAACCTGTCCAGCATCTCTCCCACCGCCTTCCCCTCCAAGCCCTTCCCCTCCATCCCTTCTCTCTTTCCATGTCCTTCTCCTTCTCTTTCCCTCCCCTTCTTGCTCCCTCCCTTCCTCCTCCTTTTTCCTCCCCTTCCCTTCCTTTCCCTTCCCTTCCCTTCCCATCCCTTCCCTTCCCTTCCCTTCCCTTCCCTTCCCTTCCCTTCCCTTTCTTTCCCTATCTCCATTCTTGGTGCTGAGGATCTAACCAGGGCTGGTTCATGCTAGGCAAATGCCTTCTACCGAGTTACATCTCTAGTTCCCACTACAACACGCCTCTATTGTTGTCTGGGACGGAATCTCACTATTTTAGCCAAGACCGGCAACCAACTCATGATCCTCTTGCCCCAGCCTCCCGAGTCCTAGGCCTGTGCCGCCACACTCACCCCCGTCCCTCCTTTCTGATCTCCCACACAAAGTCTGCTTGCTCCTTGTGGCCTGTCCCCAGTCATCTCTCCCCAGATCACACAGGATGGGTTCCGAATTTCGTCTTTCCCATGCCATTTCAAATGTGCCTTTGTGATGCGCTGGCTAACGTGTTCGCCTCTCTTCTCACTCACCAT